AGTTTTGGAATACTATAAGCTTCTCTGTCTGCACACAGGATTCTGGGCAAAACTTAAGTTTTCTTCCAAGTGTGTAACAGTTCTGCAGACCCTGAGTTGTCATGACACCCCTCAGCTACCACCGGTCCACTTCTGCTTCAGACAGAGGTGGCACAGCTGAGTCCAAGGCACGCAGCCTGAAATCTCAGGACAAATGAGCAACTTCTGTCATAAACTCACGAAAAATTTCAAACACTTGCTTTTCATTTACTCTCAATATTAAGTTTAAGGCAGGAAAAGGCAGCAGTGAGAAGCGAGTGAATTGATTCCAAATATGGGAGTTCCAATCAATAGAAACTCCATTGCATTCCTGAAGTCAAAAAGAAAGGTGCAAACTGAAAATCTCCACTCACACTTGGTCAGGCTAGATCAGTGTTCTCAACTTGGGGCGATTTTGCCCCCCAGTGAACATAGGGTACAGTCTGTAGACACCTCCGTGTCCTCTCGGAGATGGGGCAGGCACCATCAGCGTCTCTCGGGTAAAGGTCGGGGATGCTGAGCCAGAGCCTGCGTGCACAGGGCGGCCCCCACCACCATGAATACCTGCACCCGGAGGCCGAGCGAGCGATCACACAAGGAGAGGCGGACAGGGCTGGAGAGGACCCACACCCTGCTCTCTCCTGCGCCCATCCTGGGCTCCCCCGGGCCATCTCCGAGAGAGCGGCAGACCCACCGCACTACTGACACTCGCTGCTGGCTCTCTTTGCTGAACTCGGAAGCCAGTCGTGTGTGGAACAGCGTCTGCTGTGTATGCAGCCTCCATAAATCCCAGTGTGGATCCCATGGGCTCAGATTGGTGTCCACAGCAATCACGAGCCAGGCCCTACATTCATGATTCCCATTTTACTGGTGAGGAGACTGAGGCCCCAGTCACCCAAAGTACACAGCAGAGTCATGAAACCAGCCCAGCTCTCCAGAGGGCAGAGCTTGTGCCCACCACGTTACACCAGCAAGTTGCACCTAGGGGCGAATCTGCACCTGCTCCCTCCACCCCCCAACACGTGGCTAGTGTGCAGCATATTTGGTTGTCACAACCCCTGGGGTGTGGGGAAGGGTGTGTGTGCTATTGGCATCTAGTGACTAGGTGTGGGGATGCTACTATGCTGCTAAATATACTACAATGCACAGCACAGCTGCCTCCCCAAGAGAAATTACTCAGTCCAGAAGGTCAGTGGTGCCCAAGATCCCTGCTTTATCCTGTCCCTGGGTTTCCCCTGTGTGTGCCTACAGCCTGCAAAGAACTTACTTTATCTTTTAATGCTGAAATCTGCAATCCAAGATTCCCAACAGTTCAAATACACTACACTCACTCTTTTCCCACTCTTCTTTTCTTTGTTTTTTTTTTTTGGTACCAGGGATCGAACTTGGGTCCTTGCACTTGCTAGGCAAGTGAGAGAACCACTGAGCTAAATCCCCAGCCCCTCCCACTCTTCTTTACATTTACCAGAGACAATACTCTGCCTTCAAATCTAATTCAGGTGATAGTGTAGAGTAACTGCAGAGATGAGAGGATTAATGAGTTTGGGACCAGAGTCCAACGCTATATGGAAGAGAATATTCCTGAACTCAAGTGTAGAACACACACATACTTCTAGGAGAAACATTCCAACTGGACTGTAAAAGCCATAGACTACAGGACTGCTAAGAAAAGGCCGCAAAAGCTGCTGTCCTCATCCAGGAAGCAATTATCATGACAAGGGCCAAGAAGGTGCAGTACTGGGTGCCTAACTTAGATACATTTTGCATACAGCACAGCATACCTCACCTGTACTACTCCAGTCAGTGCTTCTCTCCTTCTTTTTTTTTTTTTTGGTACCAGGGATTGAACTCGTGACCTTGCGCTTGCAAGGCAGGCGGTGGATCAAGTCAGTGTTTCTCAACCCTGACTGCATAGCTGAGACCCCACACCTGTAGCTTTTTTTTTGGCACCAGGGATTGAACTCGGGTCCTCACACTTGCGTAGCAGGCGGCGAAACCACTGAGCTAAGTCCCCGGGGCCCCACACCTGTAGCTTTAAGAGAACTCCCTAGGTGGTTCTGTTGCCCAGCCAGGGTGGACAGCACTGCTTCAGACAGACACAGAGATGGGTTCCACCCAGTGCAGAGGAGCAGCTTAGGATCCCAGTCTGAAAAGGCAGAAGTCAAAAGAAGTGTTTGACTGGAGTTTAAACAGCAAGAGAAAGACATGGCTATGGGCTGTCTGTCCCTAAAGCTTCAAAACACACAAGCCAGGAATTCTTACTTTACACAGTAGATAAGAAATCAGACAACCTACCAGGCCATACATGTCCAAAGCGAGAATGGAGTCTTCTAGAAACATACAATGTCCAATGGGATATTCAAGGCACAGAAATCCACTAAGACTTGATCTGAGGATGACTGTCACAGAACCACCACAGACAAAATGCCAGACGAGTGTGGCATGCTTAAGTAAAAATTACAGTATTAGAACCAAGCATTCCATTTCTGCCTCACACTTATCCTTTCAACTGTGCAATTTACAAGGTACAGCTCATATGTGCTATGCAACAAACAGTAACCCTGGAAAACAGCAGACCGTATTGTCTGCTCAACGGCCTCCCTCACAATGAGGATTCTCACCGGTGAATGCATTCATTTGTTCACTCATTCCTTCCTTTAACAACATGCATTTCTCCAATACCTACTCTGTGCCAGGCACCATTCTAGATGCAGGGGATCCATGAGGGATCAGGGCAGATAAACATTCCTACTCTTACGGAGCTTATACCCTGTCAGTCACATCTAGTATGCTGGGTGGCAATAGGGGCTGTGGAATAAAAGTAGAGTAAAGGGGACAGAAAATGTGGTGGCCAGAGAAGTCCTCAATAATAAAGTAATATATAAGTAAAAACCCAGAGGTGAAAGAGCCAGCCATGAAGTCAAATGTTTCAGACAGAGGAACTACCAGAGAGGAAGAGAGGCTAAAAAGTGGGAGTGCATGGCCCATTCCAGGCTCACTGAGAAAGCCTGGGCCAATACAGCAGAGACTCTGGAAGAGCGTGGTGGGGGAGAAGAGCAGGGAGTTATCAGGGGGCTACTGTAGCTTCCAGGTTAAGTTGTCAGATGGGTAAGGGTGGAGGGAAGGAAAGCCCTAGTGAAAGAAGTGGAGGTGGTGAGACCTGGTCCCTGACTCGATATATGTCTAAGATACAAACAACTGACAGGACTTGCTATGATGTGTGAAAGAGAGGAATCTGTGGCGACTTCAAGGTTTTGGGTGTGAGCAATTCAAAGAATGGACTTGCCATTTACTGCAATGGGCAGAAGGCTGTGAGGTGAAGGGCGGGGAGTAAGAGCAGCACTGTTTTTTGGTGACACACAAATGGGAACATCTAATATGATGCTGGATGCACAGCTCAGGAGTTCAGAAGCTATTAGGGCTTAAGATGTAGTAAATACATAGCAAGTGTCATACAGATTCCCACTTATCCAGTCCCTCTGTCCCCACCCTCCACAGGCTTCTTTACCTTATAAAAGAATGGCCCCTGGGCCGGGGATTTAGCTCAGTGGTTTTCCCACCTGCCGTGCAAGCAGAAGGATCCGAGTTTGATCCCCAGCACCAATAAATACATACATACATACATACATACATACAAGAATGGCCCCTGAGGCCAAACCACCTTGGCTCACATCCCTGCTCCAACCTGATTGTGTGACTTGCCCTGGGTAAGGCAGGATACCTTCACCTGGGTAAGTTAACTGCTCTAAGTCAGTTTTCTCCCCAAGAGAACAGGAGTTAACAGTACCTACCTCACGGAGCTTTTGTGAAGAGTATTATGGGAGATAACAGTATGCCCAGACTGGGGGGGGGGGTTTGAGAGTGGGTCTCGCTATGTATTCCAGGTTGGCCTTGAACTTACTATGTAGACCAAGCTGGCCTCAAACTCACCATGATCCTCCTGCCTTGACCTCTCCGGTGCTGAAATTACCGGCAGTATATCCAGAACTGAGCAGCATCCCAGAGGCTCCCTAAGGCCCAGAACTTAGTTGGACCATTCATGAGTAGGGCGCCACTCAGTACGGTACAGAAACCCTCCAACAACAGGGAGCATAGCTGGGGGGACCCAAGGCAGGACAGACAGGCAGACTGCCTACAGTTATGCACCCAGAAAAAGAGGCGGCTAAAAATAAGGCCTCGGAAGTCCTCAAGCTGCAGCCAGAGTGGCACAACTGTGGATGGCAGCAGCCATCAGTGCATCCCCTGGGGGATTCGCAAGCGGCACCTTGTCACAAACGCGCAGGTGAGATGTCAGCGGGGGATCCCATGCTCTCTCTCAGGAAGTGCAGCCAAAAACGGGTGCGGGGCGGGGGGAATGCAAGAAGCAGTCTGGGCTGTCGGCAGCTCGATCCTGCGGCCAGGCCTGAAGGAGGGGACCTGAGTACCTGGGGAAGGATGCTGGTGGGAAAGGGGTGCCAGGATTGGGCGGGGGTGGGGTGAGCGCGGCTCGGTTTCCTCCATGCTCCGCTCCGAGGCCTCACGCGCGGGGAGGAAGGGATCGCGCAAGGTGAAAGGAATGGGTAGCCAGACCAGGGAAGGGAGCACCGGGTCCCCGAGACTGAGGGAGGAGAGCGAATGAGGATCTCTCGGCCCCGACCAGGCCCCGAGGTCTATTTACATCCGAGGCCGAAGCGCCTCCCGCCCCCTTTCTCCCTGGCCGGGCCCTGAGAGGCGGGAGGGGCTCCGAGTCGCGGACCCGGCGTCCTACCCGCTCCACTGGCCCGCCGGTGGCGGAGGCCGGTGCTGCCGCTGGTGATGGGCCAGGCCAGCGAGCCCAGCCCGAGGGGGCTCAATGGGGGGCGCCTGCGGGCCACGCTGAGCCTCTAGGGCGCAGCGGACGGGACTCCCGCACTCCCGGGGTCTCATCCCAAGGGGCTCCGGCCTCTAGGCCTGCCACTGCCCGTCCTCGGCCGTCAGCTGTCCCCCGACGGCGCCTCCCCTACCTTCGTTCGCCAGGTCCGCCATTTTACTTCCTTAAGCCCTCCCACAAGGCCCCGCGCCGGCCCCCCGGTTGCTCGCTCGCTGCCAGGATTCTTGCGCGTGCGCATTGAACAAGCCGACGCTATGCGAGGCGGGTAGTTTGCGCCTGCGCACTGAGCCGCGCGCCGAGTTGAACTCCAGCTCGCGCTCCGAGCGCGCGCCTGCGCACTAACCGTCCCCGCCTCCTTTTCCCGCCGACGGAGAGGGCGTGGCCAGACCGGCGCGCGTGCGCGGGGAGGGGCGGCATCGCGCTTAGCCGGCTCAGCGGACTGGGTGAATGTCTTGTGGGACTTGACGCCTTCTTCTTTACCTGCTTGTTTTCTGGGGTTTCCCGCAGCGGGGAAGTGAGCGATCCAGGGCGCAGGAGCAGAGGCCTTCTTCCAGGTAAATCCCCCGCCTGCGGGGCTTTCCTCATGCGCAGAACGGTGGCCTGTTGTTACCCCAGGCCTCAGTTTCCCCACCTTAGAAGACAAACACGTTCCCGAGGTCACGCGAGGAGGTGGCGGGAGGGCGCAGGGTACTGGGGGAGAAGCAGAGGTCGGAGATTGGCTCAGGATCGGCGATCTTTAAAATGGGACCATCAACTTCGCAAGGCTGCCCCCACCTACAGCTTCTCCATCTGTAAAGTGGCCTTGAGGTTCCCCAAGTGCAAAAGGGACTGGTACCTTCTTTTCGCAACTGAAGTTGGCACTGTATTAAGACTGCAAATTGTTGTTGTTGTTTTGTTATTATTATTATTATTTCAGAACTGGGGCTCTAACCCTGAGCTTCATGCGTGCTAGGCAGGCACCCTGCCCCCAGCTACATCCCAAACTCCACCTGCAAAATGGGACCGGCGGCCTCACAAACTGAGAATCCGGTTTGTTCTCGGCTCACCTGCTGTCCATCTCGCAGAGAATCATGCAGGATGGGCCTCGCCCCCAGAATGTAGCCCCGCGGCACCCTTCTCAGCACCCTGGATGCCACCACCCCCGCGCGAGACTGGCCTTGGGGCTCTGGAAGACTGGGCAGCCTCGCTGTCCTCCCACCTTTGATTCTAACGAACCTCCAGGCTCTGCTCCACACAGCAGCAGGCTGAAGAAGCTTTTTACAGTGTAAACTAAAAACATGCTAGGGGCACATCTCTTCTCGAGGCTTCCAAAGGGCGTTTAGCTGGGCATGGACTGAATTCTACACCTCTCATTCAGGCTGATAAAGCCCCGAATTTGCCTGGCGTCTCCCACCTTGTTTCCCTTTTGCCCTGCTGTGGTTCCTCTACCCTCAGAGCACAGGATCATTCCAGCCACAGGTCTTTGCCCAGGGGATGCCTTGGTTTGGGACTTTTTCTTTTTTTCTTCTGGTATTGGGGGTGGAACCCAGGGCCTCCCACATCTAGGCAAGTGCTCTGCCACTGAGCTGCATCCCAGCCTCTTTTATTTTTAAAATTTGAGACAGGGTCTTTCTAAGTTACTCAGGCTGGGTTTGCACTCACGATTGTCTGCCTCAGCCTCCTGAGTGATGGCATTACAGACGTGCACCACCACACCTGGCACTAGCAGTTCTTTGAACATATTTATTAATTGAGAAAAATAATAGAAAAAGTTGGCCAATCTCAAATGCAGGATACGTGTTGACCTGGTTATCCTATGTCTGTGCGTTTGTCCTGTACCCATGTACCCTTCTGTGACCCTGTTTCTACCTCTCCCCTCTCTTACCAGTAGTGGGGTGTGGTTGGTGTCATACTAGCTGCTTCTGGGGAGGTGGGGAGAGAGCAGTGTCATTACATACAAGCGCATGGCTTGCTGTTCATTTTACTGATATTGCTCATCTCTTTCTCAGATCCAGAATAACTTAATAATAATTGAGCACTGCTTCGTATCATTTGCTGATTTTCGTGGTATAAGGACTTCCTCCATGGCCCAGTTCAAGCTGTACCTAGCTTGTATGTGATGGCACCACCAACAGAGTTGGGAAGAGATGTGTTGTGCTTAGCACACCTGATTTTTTTTTTTTTTTTGGTACCAGGGATTGAACTCGGGTCCTTGCGCTTTCGCAGCAGGTGACGAAACCACTGAGCTAAATCTCCGGCCCCCGACACCTGATTTTTTTTCAGAGCACCTGGTGCTTTCTCACTGTGGCTACCAAAATCCCAGGCCCCAAACCAGACCTCAATCAGAATCTGTATTTTAACAAGGTACCCAGGAACTTCCTGTGCATATTAGATCTAGAGGCTCAAAAGAGTTCAAGAGCATTTTGCATAGAGGTTTTCTTTATTCTTGTACAGGAGTGGGGGGATTTAATACCATTAAAATTTTCCCAACCAGCCAGGTATGGTGGTGCACACCTGTAATTCCAGTGCTTGGGAGACTGAGGCAGGAGGATTGCTGTGAGCTGGAGACCAGCCTACGCTACATAGTGAGTTCGAGGCAAGCCTGAACTATGTAGCAAGACTCTATCTCAAAGCAAATCAGAGCTGGGGATTTAGCTCAGTGGCCCTGAGCCTGCCTTGCAAGCGCAAGGTCCTGGTAAGATTGGGGTGTCTACATTACATAGACACTAAAAATAGAAAACCACTGAGCTTCAAGGAAGAGGTCGTTGTAGGAATAAACATGAACACAAAACAGTGTTGCTAAAGCCCAGGTACCAGTGGAGTGCGTGGTCCACCCGGGTGCCCAGCCCCAGCCTGCCCTGTGGACAGGGAGATGAGCGAAGCATTAGAGCAGCATCACGGGCAGATTATCACTCACTGGGAACTTTCTCCTTGAGAGAGAGGAGTGAGGAGAACTGAAAGCAGGAGGACTCTAATCCCTGTGATTTGTTGTCATTCAGTGCCACGTCAACATGTCACTCAAAGTCATGTGCACCACATCCATTCCACACCTGGGAAACTCCCAGCAGTTTGTCATCACTCCCTAAATAGAATCTGCCTGTGGCCTCTCAAGGGACAGGAGAGATGCATGACTCATCAGCCCCATGCGCCAGCTAAGTTTCCATGGTTCCCAGTCCCGCTGTCTGTGATGACTGATGGCTGCCAGGCCCTGCCTGCGGCCCCGCCTGTCTTTGGGTGGTGTCTTCTCACAGGTGAACTTGGTCAACACTGATTTATTCATTCAACAGACTGATATTTGTTGATTGTCTACAGGGCTGGTTCTAAGATGGATCCCAAGTTCTTTGGCCCAGTTCTTTTGGAACTGGGGTCTCTATTTCCTTCTCTCTAATGTGGGTGGCTTGTCAATCAGTACAGCACAGTGGAAATGTCACTATGTAATGTGCCATGCTGGGTCGTATGGACAGTGTGCAACTTGGCCTGCTGAAACTTACTTTTTGCAGTACTGAGGATTGAACCCAGGGCCTGTGCACTGAGTTTATCCTCAGCCCTTTATTATATTTTATTTTGAGACAAGGTCTTCCTAAGTTGCCTGGGCTGGGCTTGAACTCGTAGTTCTCCTGCCTCAGCCTCCTAGAGTGCTGGAGTGGCAGATGTGCGCCTAGGACACTTGGCCTAGGACAGTTCTTAAGGCTCCTGGCCACCATACAAGAGGCCCTAGGGTCACTACACTAGAGGAAGTTTAAATCTGGAGAAAGAAGTGCCCAGCAGGCTCCAACTATTGCTGCCACATCCACCATGGATTGCATGAGAGCCTAGAACCTGGAGAGAGTTGCCTGACCCAGCCTTTCCTGTGTGCCACCCACAGGAACCAGGGAGAGAAAGTGAGAGTTACAGGCCACTTGGCTTTGGGGACATTTGTTACACGGCAGTGTGTACTCCGCCTGCTACACACCAGGCACTCTTCTACACAGTAGGATCCCAGGGTGGCAGGACTGATGGACCCTGACTTGCAGTCTTGTGCCCTTCTGTGGGGAGACTGACAACAGACAAGCAAAATCATTTGGGAAGGGCGATGAAGAAAGCAAAACAATGTGACAGAGAGGGGGAACTTTTAGATCAGCTGGTGTGGAGGATTGATTAATGGGCAACTTGTAACGCCCAGCTGAACTGAATCAGCATGGTCTGGGCATGGAAGAGCCACCTGAAGACTCTTACCAATAGCCATAAAAAGAGAACTGGAGGGGAAGAGCTTGGCTTGTTAATTTGTAGGGGAAGCTTGATGTGGATGATTTTCCTGATGCAAACTAGGCTGTTCTCATCAAAGGAGGAGCTCGGGGCCTTGCTGTCGCTGGGAATGGCTGCTGTTTTTGTTGGGGGAGCTCTGATCTTCACCGTGAGCATCACTTCCTGGCTCCAGTGTGGATCCCTCAGCCTGGTGGCACAGATCCTCCACCTCACCAGTGTGGATTTTCTGGCTTCCACCACTGGCCTTTGGGCCTTCCAGGTGCACATCCTCAATATGGACAAGCGTGACACATCACCATGGTCTCTAGGCCACTGGCTGGACTTGAGTGGGAAACTGCTGGGATCTAAGCCCTCAGTTGAATCCTTTGGGCTTCTAGTGTGCGGTTAATTTCTTGTACTCCTTTGCATTTGACTCTTTGGGTAATTATCATAAAATAACCTTATAAGTTATGTGTCCTGTATTTAATGTATTCCCTTGCTGAATCTTTCTGACTAAAACAGCTGGTCAGGAAGTCTGATCTGCCAGGATGAAGATGACATTTTAGTAGGTCTGTGGGAGAAGCATTCTAGGTGGTGCAGCAAGTGCAAAGGTCCTGGGGTAGAGTGTGCTGGAAGCACAGAGAGAAGCTCAGCATGGCTGAGCAGAGGGAGGGAGGGGAAGGGCCTCCAGGCCACAGTGAAGAGCACGGCCTCTGTTCTCATCCCCAGTTGGAAGCAGGAAATGAAAGGGATTTGAATGATTTGCTCTAAGCTGCTGGTTACTTTGCATGGTACCCCCCAACCCAGGACAAGCCTCAGAGGACCATGGGATCTAGCATGCTCTGTGTCCAGCACACACTGAGGCTGAGGACCCAGAGAGCAGTCGGGTACAATCCCAGCGATAAAAAGGCATGGAGTAGCAGAGCACATTGGCACACACCTGACAGCCCAGCTACCGGGAAGCTAAGGCAGGAGGATTGCTGCAAGTTCGAGGCCAGCCTGGGCTGCATAGTGAGTTCCAGGCCAGCGAATCCTTGTCTCAAAAAAAGATTCTAATCTTGATGGGGGGCAGGGAGCACTGTTACACAGTGCCATGTTTGTCAAAGTTCATAAAACTAAATGTGTGTATTTTACTGTATATAAAAATTTCCTCACACCTGTGAGGATGGCTGTTACCAAAAAGACAAGCTGGGTGTGGTGGTGCATAACTGTCATCCGAGGTACTCAAGAGGCTGAGGCAGGAGGATCGCAGGTTGAAGACCAGCCTAGGCAGCTTAAACCCTGTCTCAAGATGAAGAATGAAATGGGCCAGAGGCATAGCTCAGTGGTAGAGTGCTTGCCTAGCATGTTCACTTGGGTTCAGTTCCCAGCTCAGGGGAAAAAAACAACAACAAAGACAGTACATATTGGTTAGGATATGGAGAAAGAATTTTCCAGTCTGTTGGTGGGAATGTAAATTAGCATCATGGGGATTAGTATGAAGGTTCCTCAAAAACAAAAAAGTAGAAATACCGTATGATTCAGCCTTCCCACCACTGGGTTATGTGCAAAGGAAATTATGTGTCAAAGAAACATCGTCTCCCCCCCAATCCATGTTCATGCAGCAATGTTTTCAAGTACTCAAGATATAAAATTAGGCTGGGTGTGGTGGTACACACCTGTCACCCCCAGCGTGGGAGGCTGAGGCAGGAGGATCACAAGCCCATGCCCTGCCTGGGCAATGTAGTGACTTAGATTCAAAAAATAAAAAGGTCTGGGAACATGGCTCAGTGTGAAGGCCCTGGGTTTGATATCCAGTACCATTTAAAAACAATTTTCTTTGTGGTGATGGATTTGTTAATTAGCTTGATTTCATATCACAGTGTATACATGTTGTACACCTGAAATGTGTAAAATTTTGTCACACCTTAAAGCCAAGGGGAAATTTTTTTAAATTACACCCAGTGAAGCTAATTTTACAAATAATCAATGTGTGACTGGGTCTTGTGGAGCACCTCACACCCAAAGTCAACCCAGAACCCTGACCATGGCCCATGGTCAGAGGCTTCCTGGGGATGGAGAAGCCAGTGTGATACCCCAGTCAGCAGGACTCACACAAGTGCTTGTGTTGGTGCTGCACACTCAGCATGGACAGATACCCTCTGCACTGCTGAGGATGGACGGTTATTGTGGGATGTGAAGTTGAACAGTTCTGCTGGAGTCGGGCCAGGAGCTTACTTTGTGTCTTGGCTCCAATCAACTGCCCAGAATCCTCAGCTTCCGATTTAGAGCTGGGTGGGAAGGAGTTAGGCAGGGAGGGGAAGGAGGAAGCCGAGTACCTGCCTGGGTGCTATAGTCTGGAGGTCATGGGAAAAGAGCCCTTCTTACATAGGAGGCTGAGAAGGATGATTGTAAGTTAGAGCCCAGCCAGAGCAGTTTAGTGACTTAGGGAGACTTTGTCTCAATAAACAAAATTTAAAGAGTCTGCAGATTTAGTTCTGTGCTAAAACCCTGGGTTCAATCCCCAGGACCAGAACCCCCCTCCAAAAAAGCCCAGAAAGACCCCTTGCTTTTCCTTTTACCACACGAGGATAGTGAGAAAGTGCCATCTTCGGAGTCAAAATAGGGGTCCCAGAGCAAGACATGGTGGTGTGCAGCTGTAGTCCCAGTTATTTGGGAGGCTGAGGCAGGAGGATCTCAGGCTTGAAGTCATCCTGAGTAACAGACCCTATCTCAAAAACAAAAATAGTGCGAACAATTCCTGGGTTTGTCTGATGTCCCCTTATAAATTCAGGTTACTCCTCTCTGGCAGGGATTACACACGTGAGGGGCGTCCCTCTGGGGACACCCTAGCCAGAGTCCCATGGTCAGTTTGCACCTTACTGATGAACTTAGCGGTCAACTGCACCTATGTTAACTAGTTGACTCTTGTCCCCTTGGCAATTATTAGGTGTCTGGTGGGGAGGTGCTTCAAGTATGTAGACAAGGGATATTTGAAGAGGGAAAGGAAGGACCTAGTTCGCTCACTGTGGTGCTTGCAGTCTTTCCTGTCACCAATGGAAATGCAGACAGATTCTGGGTTCTTACCAGAGGGAAAATCAAGAGGCTGTGTCACACAGTGACCACTGGGGGGCGGCAGAGGACTGGGATGACTTCAAGGCGCCCCCCTCCAGTGGGGGAACTGCAGTTCTCGCCTTCAATTTAACAGGACTCAGCGGCTTTGCCCGGGTCCTGCAGGCTGAAGTGGGGAGTCTTGGTGACAGCTCGCCCGCCGCTCTGAGGACAGCAGTTGGGCCAGATCCAGCAGTCGCCAGCTGCCAGGCACGCCCGCCTCTGGACAGTGCTGTCGATCCTGGGAAAACTCCTCTGGGATTGCAGCCCTGGCTGCAGAATTCTTGGGTCCCGAGGGGCAGCTGCTTGGAGACTGGCAGCCACCCCAAAACCACCCCAGAAGGGGGAACTGGCTGGAAGGTTTTCAAGGACACCCATAAGATCAAAAGGGAAAGGGAAAACATTGGGCCAGGGGTCTTAGAGACGGGATCACTGAGCAAAACCAGTAAGGTACCTGGGGAAGCACAGCCTGCTTTACAGCTCAGCTCGCGGGCTGGGCAGGCTGCACACACGCCTGTACTAACACTCTGGGAGGCCTAGGCAGGAGGATCTCAAGTTTGACCCCAGCCTGGGTAATTTAGCAACTTACTGAGACCTTATCTCAACATAGAAAATAAAAAGGCGGGCCAGGGATTTAGCCCAGTGGTTCCGCCACCTGCCTCGCAAGCGCAAGGTTCCGAGTTTGATCCCCGGTACCAAAAAAAAAAAAGGGCCGGGGACAGAGTTCAGTGTAGCTTCGGTCTATCCCAGGTACTTGGGGTTAAAAAAATAAAAACACAAAACAAACAAAAACATTACAGCAGAGTGAGGCATCTTTGGAGAACCCCCCCCGCCCCGCAAATTCAGTTGATGCCTCCAGCAAATACTTGTCAAGATGAACCTGTGCGGTCAGGCGCTGGTGTGAGATGTCACTTGGGATGCAGACACCCGTGTTCCCCTTCACTGGCCACATGGGACCCTGGACCATGTCTGGGGACACTGGTGATTGTCCTGACAGGGGATGCTGTGGGCACGGAGCGGGTGGAGGCCAGGGATGCTGCTCAGCACCCTGCAGTGCCCAGGGTGCCCCAGAGCACACGGGCCCCAGTGTGTCTGGTGTGCAGGGGACGAGCAGCCGCCCCCCCCCGGTTTCCATGGATACCCTGAGCTCTCCCTGCAGCCATGGGAGGCAAGCACTGGGCCGTCTTTTGTCCGGGTGGGGAACTGACTGGTGGAAGTGATTTCCTTGAGCGCAGCTGGGACTGGGCTCAGCTGGACACTCCTGGAAGGACCAAAGGGACCTGGTGACCCTACAAGAGACTTGAAGCCTGTGGACCCTGTGGGTCCCATGGTGGGTCCCTGGCGTGGCTCGGGGGCTTGGCTGGGAGGGGCTCAGAGTGGGCAGGGGCTGAGGCTGTGATCCAGCCATGGTGGGGGCCTGTGGCTTCCCATCTGTCACCCAGCACTCGGCGGGAGCTGGCAGTCAGGCTGCGGTGAAGCCCTGGGATTCCCCAGGACTGGCCACGTAATTCAGAGCCCCGTGGGATAAAGTGAAATTAATTTAATTAAGTTAATTTTGTTCAAAAAGTAAGAACTTCAAGATGACCCCAGCCTGGGCAACTTAGTGAGACCCTGGCTCAAAACCGGAAATTAAAAGGGCTGGAGATGCAGCTGAGCACGAAGGCCCTGGGTTCCATCCCTAGTGCTGCAAGACAAAAGAGAACAAATCAAAATGAAAACCCCACAGAATTTCAAGATGGTGACAGCCAAGCAGCGGCTTCGTCTGGGGCATCCTCCTGCCATGGGCTCTTTCTGTCCCGAAAGGGACGGTACCACCTGGTCCCACCCAGACAGGCCCTGCAGAGGGGGCCGCTGTGGATATGGTCAGGCCGATCCTCCAGGATCCACAGCTGAACAGCACCACAGCTCTCCTGTGTAAGTCCAAGAGCCCCCGCGGGGCTCCACAGGCCCACAGCATCTGCTTATCATGGCACATCCAGGCGGTCAGCACCGCCTCCCAGCCAAGCATGGCTCTTGCAGCTCTTGGGGTCCAGGATGGCCTGGATGGGGGAGCTCAGGGCAGGCGCCAGAAGGTTGGAGGTCAGAGGCTTATTCCTGGCTAGACAAGGTGCAGGAGAGTGGGGCTGGAGTGTGAACAAGGACCCCCAAAATGGGGATGTGCGATGTGCTGATTGCTACAAGAAACAGGAATAGAGCTGGGCGTGGGTGGTGCATGCTCGCCATCTCAGCACTCTGGGAGGCTGAGGCAGGAAGGTCACAAGTTTGACTACAGCCTGGGAACCTCAGTGACTTATCAAGAAACCATCTCAAAATAAAAAATAAAAATGGGGTTGGTTATGTAGCTCCATGTGAAGGCCCTGGGTTCCATCTCCAGTACCAGAAAGAAAGAAGAAAACGGCATGGCAGCATATACCTGTCCTCTTAGCCCTTGGGAGGCTGAGGCACGAGGATCGCCATGAGTTCGAGGCCAGCCTGAACTACAGACCAAGACCCTGTCTCAAAAAAAAGAGAAAAGGAAAAGAGAGGGGGATGAGGTTGGGAGCTTGTGTTGCCTCTGTTACCCCTATTCTTCCTCATGGACCCCACAAAGGACACAGCAGAGCGCAGAGCAGAAACCCCATCTGTATTGGTTCCACACAGGAACAAACTGCCATTACAGCACATCAGTGAACTTGGACGACATTCTTCCTGTCTGAGTTCATCTAAGTCTTCTGTATAAGACCAGGCAAACATGGTGATTACTATGGGCCTCAGAACATCTCCACACCTTTCTCTCCGTGCCTCCTGCACCCCAGCACGGCCAGAGGGGTGCAGTTTTCAAAGCCATGGGAGCTGATATTAGTGCATTTTGTGTGAGGGAGAACAAAATACTGGAGACTGAGTATGTGTGAGACATACGTTCATAAAGAAACCTAAGAACAATTAGCGCACAAAACTATTGGCATCAACATTTCCCAAGGAGAGGAAGTATTGCATTTCCTTAGACAGCCTTTCTTTGTGATCTCTGCATGTGGTTCGGGGCAGTGCCCATTGAGTCTGGAGCTCAGGGTTGCACGGGTCCTTAGTTGTCATCTGTCCCCACAGTTTTGATTTGAAGAGGTTGAGATGGGACTCGCGGGCCTCAGAGCCATCTGAGGTCACAGGGCACGGGGAAGCAGCTGCCACCGTCCCAGCTGGATGTTGTTGACTGTGAGCCTGGGTCCTTGCTGTTGCAGATCAGACTTGCGGTTGTGAGTTTTTGAGGACACGAGTGGACTCAATGCTATGGCTTGCTCTTTCTCAGGCTGCAGATGTGCTGTTGGAGAGGAGCTCTGCAGGGCAAGGAGCCTGGAACCCTCCAGCTGGCAAAGGCCACAAGGCACACGCTGGGACGGGTTCTTCTGCCCAGAAGCACTGGGGCCTCTGATCTCAAGGGGACCCACGGGGCCAGGGCTCTGTGCCCCAAACAGTGCAGGACCAGGCAGGGCCGGGCTGTCGCACCCTGTCCACTCAGCCAGGTTAGGGTTTGTCATTGTGGTGAAGACAGAGGAGCAGCTTGTGGTGGGGACCAGCTCTCCGCATGGCTCTCCGCACGGCTCTTACGGAGACACAGAGCGAAGCTCACGTCCAGCAGAGGGGCGTCCCCAGAACAAGGGACACAGGGCCTTGCTGCAGCTTTGGCAGCGTTTATAACCATTTTTTTCCCATCAGTCCCAGTTGCGCGGCCCCAGGACAGAGTCGCAGTAAACATCAAGTCATCTAAGAGGCACAAGTGCGGTGGGGCTGGGAGGTCCAGGTTCCCAGAGTGGCTGGGTGACATCTTCTGGGACCTTGTGTCTGGAAGGCACCTGGGGGAGGTGCTAGATGCCACCCTGCAGGTGGTGGCCCGAGTCACTGCGCTCACGTTTCACCAGCGGCTCCCCCAGGCTGCAGCCATCTTCGCCACCCCGACCACTGCTGATGTTGTCTGTGGGGCAAGCGTGGGAGGAGGGACAGAGGAGCGCGTGATCAGAGAGGTGCAGTGGCACAGGGGACGCGTGGCCACCTGTGAAACTTCCCGGCCACACACAGCGCCCTAGCCTGGGCGTCACCAAGGGTAGCCTATGTCATGATCCTGGGAGGGCTGCGCCTCGGGGTCCCTGGGACACAAATGTGGCTGCAGGAGGCCTGGGGCCCCTGCCGCTTGTCACAGGGACTCCTGGCCACTCCCCAGCTACCACCCGCTGTCTGCATAGCAGCCCCCGGGGTCCCCAATTTCTACCTGCTTTGGTGACCTGGGGCCAGGGGACCTGGGGGAAGCCAGGACATACGCACCTTTGTCAAGCAGCGTCAGCGACAGGGAGGTGAGGTCATTGAACTGCAAGAGAAGCTCAGAGTCAGGGCCCACAGGGGCCAGAGCGACTGCAGTCCTGGGGAGGCACGGCTCAGTCATGACCACACCCACTTCCGGTTCTGTTTAGATTCAGCTTCTGCCAGGACAAGTGGCTATGACCCTTTCCTGGCACCCAGGAGCTGCTGGGGCTGGGTGGGAAGTGCTGGGCTTCCAGGTGGCAGCTGGGGCTATGGGGCCAGCCAGCTGCGGCCGGGCTCTGTGCTCGAGGCTCCCTCCAGGCCCCAGTGCCCAGCTGTGGGCAAGGTACAAACGTCCTCCCCCAGCTTCCCACAAGGTGTGGACTGGTCCCAAGTCTCAGGGTGTGTGACCTCCACATACTGAGAGCCAGGGGCAGTGGCACATGCCCAGGAGCCCAGCACCCAGAGGCTGAGGCAGGAGGATCACAAGTTTCAGCAACTTAACGAGACAGCAAGGGCATACTTGGCCAGGACTGGAGCGAGGCTGTGACACCCGCCACAGCGGGGACGGACCCTGAGGACGCCGTGCTCAGGGAGAGACGCCAGACACAGGGGACACAGCGTGGGCTCCACGGACAGCAAACGCCCAGGGCGGGCAACTCCAGGGACAGGAAGTGGCCTCGGGGGTGCTGGGCTGGCAGGACGAATGGGAAGTGACTTCCCACAGGGTGGGGCTTCTTCTTGGGGGTGCAATGTTCTGGAACTGGCTGGCAGTGCGGCAGGGCACCTGCGGACTGGCCAGGCTGGGGACCCGGGCCTCACCTCCCCCATGACGGCGATGGGCGTCTCCCCGGTGGCCTCGGCGACTCGGTGCTCCACCAGGTAGAACATGTACTCGTCATAGAGCAGGCGGATGAGGTGGAAGGAGCCAAAGCTGGCGGCACTGCGCAGGGTCAGGTCCCGGATCACCATGGAGCTGGGGGCAGGTGACAGGAACACTCAGGGTACAGAGCCCGGGCCTCAGGCAGGCTGTGGTGACCTGGGCTCAGCATCCCAGTCACCCGAGCAGTCTCAGACCTTCAGCCTGCAGGAAGCTCTGTCAGCAGGCGGCCACCAGAGGGTGTGAGGGGATACGCCGACACATGGGACAGGAGGGGCAGAAGAGGACAAAGGACACGCAATTTAGAGAGGTCTAGGGTGGAGTGGGTCTAATGGGTGCCTGCAGGAAAAGATGTTCCCTGCAGGGGAAGAGCGAGTGCTGCCAAGTCCCCGAGGCACCGAGGCCAGGAAGAAACATGAGGAGAGGGCCGAGGAGGAGGAGGAAGCTGGCAGCCAGCAGAGGGCTCAGCAAAGCCCTTTTTTTTGCTTTTGCTGGGCATGGTAGTGCACTCCTGTCATCCCAGCACTCAGGAGGCTGAGACAGGAGGATCACTACTACTAGTCCAAGGCCAGCCTGGGCCTCATTAGTGAGTTCAAGGGCTGAACTACAGAGCAAGACCCTGTCTCAAAAGAAATCTTTGTTTTTGGTGGTACTGGGGATGGAAGCCAGGGCCTGGCGCATGCTAGGCAAGCCCCCACCACTGAGCCACACAGCAGTCCAGCCAGCTGGTTTTGACGGGAGCCAGGTGGGAAATATTTTTGGCCTTTGGGACAACAGTCACATTTCCCTGTTAGAAGCTTCTCAGTTCTGCTGCTGGTTTGTGAATGGATGGGTGTGACAGAAGTCACAACCAGGTGGACAGTGATTTGGCCCAGCGGCCACAGCTCGACCATAATCATGCAGGGCTTGTAGGGTATAGAACAGCTTATTGTTTCCCTGAGGGTAATAACAGCCTTTCTTCCTTCCCCCCGCCCCCACTCCTTCCTTCCCAGCACTGGAGATTGAACCCACTGCCTTCACGATCAACTACAACCCCAACTTTTTAAATTACTTTTTTAATTTGAGTTTCACTAAGTCCCTGAGTTGCCCAGGCTGGACTTGAACTTGGAATCCTCCTGCCTCGGCCTCCTAGAGTGCTGGGATGACAGGCTTGTGCCACCGCACTCAGATCCTATCACTTTCTTGTCGCCTTAGTGAGGTTTGCTAGGGAACATACTTCCCCAGGAGGCCCCCATGATGACTTCCAGCAGGGGAAGCTTGGGGCTGAGCTGGAGGCCATGGTGGCCCTGTGCACCTTCCTGGGCAGATGGCCAAGAGACAGGACTGTGCAGGACCTGGGGACCCCTCCTCAGCTGGGGCACCGTGGGGCTCACCTGTAGAAGGACCACTTGAGCAGGAACTGCCTCGCAGCCTTGGGAAAGCTGGGGCTGCCTGCGTGCTGCTTGAGCACCTGGCTGACCACGCCATCCAGCCAGCGCGCCCACTGCTCGAGCGAGCTCTGCTGCTGTAGGGTCACCTTGAAGTCCTGCTCCAGCCGTTGTACCACGCCCTCCTCACACTGGCACACCCACGAGGCCTGTTCCTGCAGGAGAGGGGCACAGACAGGCGCTGGTGTGGCTTGGGTTGCACTCCCGCTTTTTAAAAAAATTAATTTTGGGTTCTGGGGATGGAACTCAGGGCCTCACACATGCTGGACAAGTGCCCGTCACTGAGCAGCATCCCAGCCCTTTGAATTTTTTATTTTGAGACAAGGTCTCAGTAAGTTGCCCAGACTGGCTTTGAACCTTTGGTCCTTCTGCCTCAGCCTCCTTAGTGGCTGGGGTTACAGGTGTGCATGAGCATATCCACCTGTTTTTATAGTTTTTTTGGTGCTGGGGAGGTGCCCAGGGCCTCATGATGAGAACACCCTGTAGCAATGAGCTGCACCCCAGCCTGGACTCTCCAGACCTTGGCCTTTGACAGCTGTAAACTGAGCATCGTTAGCACAGCCCCCAAAGAGGGAGCCTGACCTGACTCTAGGGACTCACACGAGGCCTTTCTGGATCAAAGTTCACGTTATAGCACGACTGTTTTGTTTTACAGTGATCCCTCTTCTCCCTGTATGTGTTTATTCGTTTCATTATTATTTGCCATGCTGAAGGCGGAACCCAGGCAGGGCCTTGCACGTGCTAGGCAAGTGCTCATTACTCTGCTATACTTCCAGCCCTTTTTATTTTGAAACAGGATATCACTTAAGTCACTAAATTGTCCAGGCTTGGCTCAAACTTTCGATCCTCCTGCCTCAGCCTCCCCATGCTGGGATGACCAGTGTGCACCACCCTCAGGTTGTATTCATTTTTTAAATGGCTAAACTCAGAGGCAAATGAGGTAAAAGAGCAGCCTCAGGGCTTGTGACCTGGCCATCTGCCATGTCCCTGCAGTGTCCTAAGCCGGGAGAGGCAGATATGGTGCTGGCATCCAGGAAGCTGAGCACCCAGGCACAAAAGGGGCCTGAGAGATGTCAAGGCGGCTACGGGCCTCTGCTTTGGGCCTGTTTTGTGCCAGCTTTCCAAGCAGGAGAGAGGCGTCACCTGCACGTTGGCGAAGTCCACCCGGTTGAGGTCGCTGAGCATCTGGCTGATCTGGGACGCATTCTGCAGCACTGCACGCGCTGCCTGGGCCAGGTGGTTGAGCGACGTGTAGCGCCTCAGAGTCTGCGCGAAGGCACTGACCACGCCCACCTGTGGGCCGGGAGGGGCGTGGGCAGCGGGGGGGGGGCGACACAGTTCGAGGACTCAGGGACCCCGCTGGGAGGGGGACAGGGAAGACCCCCAGTAAGGGTCCGTGGTGATAATGGCTAGAAGACACTGGCTCCACCAGCGCATCCCGCGGCACCAGAGTCCCGACAGGGTAGCCTTGTCCTCCTGGGCTCCTACAGGCCCTTTGGCTGTTGAAAATACTGATTCCTGGGCATGTGCTGAGAATCTGAATTCTCGACACTAGCTAAGCGATTCTTGCACGCAGAGCTCTGTGGTCTAATAGATCAGTTCCCAAGTGTGCACGGGTAAAGCAGACGTTGGAGCCTGGCCCTCAGAGGCACCCGACACCTTGTTTTATTTTTTGTTTTGTTTTGTTTTTGTGCAGTGCTAAGGAATGCAAGGCCTCCTGCATGTTGACCAAGTCCCCACCACTGAGATACATCCCAGACTTTTTCCATTTTCATTTTGAGATAGTCTTGCTTAATTGCCCAGGCTGGGCTGGAACTCAAGACCTTCCTGCCTCAGCCTCCTGAATAGCTGGGATTACAGGTGTGCATCACAGCACCTGGCCATACAAAGCCATTTAAGATACATTGGAAAGAATGGCAGAGACTTGTTTTCACAGCCAGGCTACCTCTCTACATTTTTTTGTACCGGAGATCGAACTCAGGAGCTTGAGCTTTAAAGGCAGGCACTGTGCTGCTGAGCTACATCCTTGGCCCCAATTCTCTACATTTTAAATTCTGATTTGTGGCCAAGTAATAGGGCAAAGGCAAGGAGATTAAGTTCCCCTCCTGTGATGGCCGTGGGAACAATCTGTCCTGAATCAGCCCCAATGGATGACATCAGGTGACACCTTCTGTGCCTCCCTGAGGCCAGCTGTCACCCTGTGACACGGGCACCATGGTCCTCACACCCCCGTCCTCCCGGCCACTCCAGGCTCTGTCCCCAGAGTGCGGGCCATGCCGTCTGTCACCTTGGTCTGGATGACCTGCTGCGGGAAGTCACTCATGGCATTTGTCAGCCAGCCTTCCAGGCTCTTGGCGAAGTTCCGGATGGCCTGGGTCAGGGTACCTGGGGACAGGAGCCAAGAGGCCAGTGGTGAGGATGGCACAGGCACAGGGGAGGGAGGGGAGGGACACGGAGCAGCCCAAGTGGGACGGGGGGGGGGGCTCAGAACACGTGTCCCTGGGTTGCTGCCCTCTGTCGGCACAGCCAGTCTCAGCAGGGTGGCCCCACCCCCAGGGATACTGGCAGTCGATCCCCTGTGCCCGTCACCTGGGGAGCTCTGATAGACACGGCCCCCAGGGCACCCTGGTGCCCTCACACGTGCAGTTAAATATGTTCTCTCAGCTTTCAAGTCTATTTTGAGGTGAATTATAAGAAGCAGCATTGGGCTGGGGATTTAGCTCAGTGGTTCCACTGCCTGTCTCGAAAGTGCAAGGTCCCGAGTTCAATCCCCGGTACCAAAAAAACCAAAAAAAAAACCCCCAGAAAAATTAAAGGAAACAGGCTATAAACTCATACCTTCGTGTAGGACCCTGAGTGCTCATAGGTATGCTGACCAGTTTCCAGGCAGCTGAGACCAAAGAGACAATGGATCTGTGGTTTCTCATTTTTGGGAAAGAGTAGCAGATCAGGTTTGTTCGTTTGGTACTGAGGATTGAACCCAGGGCCTTTGCACTGAGCTGCATCTCCAGCTCTTTTTATTTTGAGACAGAATCTCACCAGGTTGCTAAGTTGTCCACGCTGAACAGGTTGAACTTGTGATCCTCCTGCCTCAGCCTCCCAGAGTGCTGGGTTGACCAGTATTTGCTACCGTGGCTGGCTGCAGCTAATTATTAAGAAAGACTGAGGCAGGCTGGGGATTTAGCTCAGTGGTTCTGCCGCCTGCCTTGAAAGTGCAAGGTCCTGAGTTCCATCCCCAGTATCAAAAAAAAAGAAAGACTGAGAGCTGCCAAATTAACTAAAGCTCTGAGCCTCAATGTCTACATAAGGCCTCCGTGGGGCTCCCTGTCCTCACTAGGAAGGCGGAAGCATGGCCTGCCCTGGGCACAGGCCTGGGCAGGCTCAGGGGCTTAGGCTGGCCAGGTGCCATGGTGCCCGAGAGAGCCTCCCAGGAGCCCTCGGTGTGGGTCTCTGCACCAGGAAAGGTGGGGACTCTGCAGGGGTTAAAGGTTGGCCCCGCTCCTACAGGAACCACAGGCATAGCTGTTCCTGTCACACGGGAAATGTCCCCCAGAGTTCGCAGGGACCCTGGGGACAGCAGGTGCTGGTGCGACCTTAGGACGAGAGCGGCAGCGGCCCCACGCGGCCCTCAGCAGTGGCTCCCCCGGCCTGTTGCGGGCTGAGCTCACAGGGCCACGCATGCTGCCTGTCGCCTTGGGTCAGCAATGAGGGGAAAGGGAAGCGGGTGACTCGGCATCCGGGGCGCAGGTGGTCACTCACTGGGGACCGGGCGCAGCACGTCTGGGATGAGGATCTCCACGAGCGCCTGGTACAGGATGTGGTCGCAGTTTCGCATCCACTTGAGGATGGGCGTGCACTTGCACAGTGAGATGAGCTTGTCCTGGGGCAGCACGGCCTGTCCCTCGGGCTCCTCGTCACTGCAGGGCACAGGCGCCATGAGGCGGGGACGGCCGGGCCCATCTGCCCCCCGGTGCCCAGGTCCCGGGCCATCCCTCCCTGCTGTGGCCAGGTCCCTTCTTCCCCAGCCGTGGGGAGCTGACGCAGGTGTGCGGGGGTCCCCGGGCTTAGGTGTGGGAGCCTGGGAGGCAGATGGGCTGTGGCTACTCTGCACGTCTGGGGGATGATGGCTGTCACCTGGCAGGGAGGGAGGTGGGGCCGTCACTGCAGGTGGCTTTGGAGTTCCAAAAGGACAGCCACAGCTTCTCGATGTAGTGGAACTGGAGGTTCGTGACGACATCCAAGGTGGCCTAGAGGGAAAGAGACAGGGTCCACAGATGCTACGTGGGTTCCAGCGTTTCTGTCGCTCATGTGTCCTGGGCAAGGAGCCAGAACACGGGCTGTGGCAGGGGGTGACAGGAGAGACAGGAGGCCCAGCGGACCGAGCCGCTGCCGTCCAGAGAGAGGACACCTGTGGTAGACATGGGGCTCCTGTCACCTGTGTGCCACCCAGGCCACCCGGGGCTGGAGTGGTCACCTCGCAGTGCTGTCGGTACACCAGCTGCAGGGCCTTGACATCGCGCAGTGTGACGCTCTCCTGTAGCAGCGTGCTGCCCAGCTCAGGCACCGGGAACTCTGGGAACACGTGGGATACGTCTGGGGAGGACACAGGCTATCAGACACAGGACCTTAGGAGCCTTGGCCATGCGCAGCCATGGCGGGGGGGGCTCCTAGCTCTGCATGTACTTGGGTGACTTTTGTGTAATTTTCAGTTTTTCTCAGCATCAAAACAAGGACAATTTTGTCACCTCCCAGGGCTATGACATAAGTTGAGCACTGGTCCGAGGACACAGTGAGGGCTCAGAAGCTCAGCTCACATCACTGCCACATGGGGTGGCAAAGCCACAGCACCCTGGGCACCATCTCAGTCTGCCTCAAACACTCAACTCCTAGAACCCAAGAGTTCTGTCCAGATTAAAAAACCACAGGAGATGGGTGAGGTGGCGCAGGCCTGAAATCCCAGCACCTTGGGAGGCTGAGGCAGGAGGATCACAAGCTCCAACCCAGCCTGGGCGACTTAAGGAGATCCTATCTCAAAATAGAAAATAAAGAAATGGGCTGGAGATGTGGCTCAGTGTGAAGGCCCTAGGTTCTATCTCCAGTATGGCCCAAACAAAACAAAACAGCCCACAATGCAACTGTGAAGCTGCCAAGTGTCCCCCGGTATAATGGCCTTTCCTGGGCGGTCCTGGTGGCAGGCTCCAAAGTTAGACCCCATCCCTGCAGGGTCCCCAGGAACGAGTGTGAGGCTGCTGCCACCTGGAGGACCCTAAGCGCTCCAGGTGAGGAAGAGACCCCGGGACAGAGCCACATCCTGCTGTACCCCAAGCACAAGGGTTTTAAAAGAACGTTTTTCTGATGGTCTAAGTACTCATTTTTCTTTTTGTTGAACCCAGGCTCTCTGCACTGAGCTCCATCCCCAACCTTTTTTTTGAGACAGGGTTTTGCTAAGTCATCCAGGCTGGCCTCCAGCTTGTGATCCTCCCACCTCAGCCTCCCAGAGGGCTGGATGACAGGTGTGCGCCCCCATGCTCGGCCATGCACTTATTTTTCTGATGGTGACTTTATGCATCACATTTTGGGGTGCATGCTGATTGTTCTAACTCTCAGGGACTGCAGAAAGAAGATTCATCCAGAGCTTTCTGCACACTGGAAGGTGTCACCCGAGGGCATCATCCCGGCACGCGGCTGGCCTTACCTATGTACTGCTGGTGGTGCTGGCTCTGTGTGGCCATGGCCTGCTCTGGCGTGCTGTGCAGGCTGCTGTCCCCGAGGCCGTCCGTCTTCTGGGCTGGCCGGTATCTGGGCAGGGGACACATGTGCTACCATGAGGTCCATTTTTTAGCGTGGTGAAGCCACATAAGATCAACTATACCGTTGTGATCATTCTTAAGCGCCCACCTCAGCAGCACTAAACGCATTCCCAGGGCCGTGTGGCAGTCTCCACTGCCCACCTCCAGAACTTTCTCATTTCCCCAAACTTAGCCTCTGTCCCCATGAAATGATGACTGCTGTCCCCTACCCAACCCCGGCACCACCATCCTCCTTCCTGTCTCTGTGGATCTGACAGGGACCTCCTGGGAGTGGGTGTGCCCTTCCATGTCTGCCTTAGTGCACTGAGCAGCCTGGCCTCAAGCCCAGCTGCACTATAGCAGGGTCAGGATTTCCTTCCTTTTCACGGCTGAGCAATAGTCTAGCATGTGGACGGACCCCGCTGTGTGATCTGTGGGTGCCTACCCAGGCTGTGTACCTGAGTATGTGCTTCCTTAATGTCTCCCCTAGAAGGCCAGGAAGTTCTCTGCACAGAATCACGGACATCTCCCTGCTGTGTGTCCAAAGCAGATTCTGACTTGGTTTTGCCCCAAACAGGAGGGCAGGGGTGGCCTGTCCAGGCCACAGAAAGAGGCCACCCAGACTGTGAGGCAGGAAGGGCAGGGGTGGCCTGTCCCCATGTGCAGGGGGAGGGAGAGGTGCTGGGGTGGGGGGGCCCAGGCTGTGGCTTTCCAGATAATGGTGGCACAAGCCTGTCCTCATGACAGGTGTGCCCTGCTCCTGAAATGACAGCACGACGTCACAGGTGTTTGCTGGGGGCCAAAACTGAGTGATAAGTGACACATCTGTGTGGACAGGGCTGGAGATTTAGCTCAGTGATTCCGCCACCTGCCTTACAAGCTCGAGGTCCCGAGTTTGATCCCTGATACCAAAAAAAAAAATCTGTGTGGACAACAGGAGCAGGAGAGCAGCGGGCTCCTCCTCTCCTCCTGGGCCCTGGACGTGCCCCCTGCTGTCCTCTGCAGCCCTCGGGCTGCATCTGAGCCCCCGGAGGAGAATGTGCCATGGTCCCCGCCCTCAGGGTGCTCACGCTGGGTGAGGGGCAGGCTGTGCTCCCTGGCCCGTGGGAGCGCACCGGAAGGCTGTCGGAAGGAGACATCTGGGGGACCCTTAACCAGGCACCTGGGGCCAGTGCTGCCAGGTATGTTTGTAAATAAAGTTGCATTGGCACACAGCCACATCCACTTGTGCAGCTGTCACCTGCGGCTGCTTTTGTGACACAACCCCAGAGAGAAATCACCCACAGAGACCTTCAGGTCTGCAGAGCTGAGGGCTTTGATCTCTGGCTCCTTACAAAAGGCGTCTGCCAGAGAATGTTCCTGAAAGGAACCAGCCTTTTGTGGCCACTGGATGAAGATGTCAGGAAGGGACTGCGACTTCAGCACAGAGCTCCTTTCTCCTGACGTGCTGCTGGCTTATTTGTGGGGCTCCCTCTCCCGCCTCCCTCCTAAATTTAAAAAATGAAAGCAGTGTGTTTCCAACTCCATGGCCATCTGGAAAAGGAGACAATAAAAGCTCGGAGGCTGCCAGGGGCTGGGGGAGCACAGGGCATGGCCAGGGCAGCCGTGACACTGTGCTGTGTGACACTGGTGGAGCTTCATCCTGCTGCATCCATCCAGACCCACAGAACGAAAGCAGCCAGAGCAACCCCTGGCATGGACTGTGGGCTCTGGAGAACAGCAATGTATCACTGTGGCACACTGGTTGTCACAAATATGAGTGTGTGGACAGGGTACATGGGAGATTTGGCCTTTCCACTAACTTTTGCTGTGAATTTAAAATTGGTATAAAATATAAGAAAATTCTAATTTTTTTTCAGTGCTGAGGATAGAACCCAATCCTCACATATGCTAGCCAAGCACTCACCACTGAGATACACCCGCAGCACTGAAATTTTAATGTGATGATGGTGGTGATTATCATCATTTTGGTGTTTGTGAAATCAGGTCTCACCATGGAGTTCAGGCTGGTCTTGAACTCACAGTGATCCTCCTGCCTCAGCCTCCCTGGTGCTGGGATGCCTTTTCTTTTTTAAATGACTGATCTGAGAACTCTACCAGTGGCTGAGGCTGTGGGCAGGCTGGCATGTCCCAGATGCGCGGGGGGCTCATGTGTGAGTTTGTCTGCAGGTCAGGAATCCCTGAAGACCCGTCAGCCCACCTCAGGCTTGGGGAAGTCACCCACCTGGGCTTCTGGTGCAGGGGCTGCTGCCGCATGGCCATGTACTGAGTGTCCTCCTGGAGCCGGTTCAGCGGGGAGTCTGGTTTCAGACGGATGCCATAGTAGTGGTACTTCGAGTTGCCCCTGCAGACACAGGCAGGACAGAGTAATAAGCCAGGAGCCCTCTCACCTGCTCTCAGCCCTTCTTTTTGGCCAATGTGGTTTGGTCTCTCCTGAATGATGTGAAAAATGTTCATGGGGAAATTCTGCCCATAATAGCCCCTCATAGAGAGGCCCCTCATTTGTTTATTTATTTTGCAGCGCTGGGGATGGAACCCAAGGCCTTTGCACTGAGTTGCCTCCCCAGCCCTTTTTATTTTGAGACAGGGTCTCACTAAGTGTAAGTTGCCCAGGATGGGGTTGAACTTGGGCTCCTCCTGCCTCAGCCTCCCAGAGTGCTGGGATGATAGGAGTGCACCATCGCCCCTGGCTGGAGTCCCCTTTTGTTTTACTGTAACGAGGCTCTGACAACCCTGTGGTGGGCAAACCAGGTGGACCATGCTGGGATTATTATTAAGAACTCTTCCGCACCCTTTGGAATATAACACGTTCTGCCAAATGGCAGAATGTGGGAAACACTACCTTAGTTTATTGCAGTTAGAAGGGGGACGGGAGGGTTGTAATTTAATTAAGGAAATGGCCCAAGGGGCTCCACAGGAGGGAGTAGCTAGCTGACAGACCGCCCAGGTCACACAAGCCATTTCTCCAGGGCTGGTAATAAGGACAAGCAGGAGGCACCTGGGCCTCTCTTTCTAGAAAAGAAATGCCACCAGGGATTTAGCTCAGTGGTTTCACCGCCTGCCCTGCAAACACATGGTCCTGAGTTCGATCCCCAGTACCAAAAAAAAAAAAGAAAAAAGAAAAGGAATGCCTGTTCTCAGGGAGAACGAAGAAAAGCACAGGGAAATAGGAAGGGAAACAGAGAAATAAGCCTGATGCCCGAAGCTGTTGCTGGGACTCCCCAAAGGTACAGGCCTCAAAGGCAACAGGGCTGTGATCCCAAGACCCAGGTTCCCTGGCCGTTCTCCCCATGGCCTGCCCTCCTTTTTCTGTGGTGGGTATTGCAGTTTGAACCTCAGACCCTTTGCATTGAGCCACATTCCCAGCCCTTCTTACATCTTTTATTTTGAGACAGGGTTTTGCTAAGTCACTAAGCTGCTCAGGCTGGGCTCGAACTAGTGATCCTCTCGCCTCAGCCTCCCAGAGCATGGGCTGATAGGTGTGCACCACCGCACCCAGGCCTGCCCTCCTCTACCCTCTAGTTCTGTAAGGACGTCCTCTGGAAAGGACCAGCAGGTCGCAGAGACCAAAGGACTCTGGTCCCTTGGTCCCAAGGCCACGGTGTCTACGGGCAGCCACGGTGCCCACTTCTGCCAGTGCACAGATGGCCTTGACACCTTTCTGTCATGGCCACAGGGCCTTGGAGTCAGGGCCACTGCAGGGAGGAACCTGAAGGTGCTCTGGGCCCCTGGCCCCAACTTAGCCATGGGGCTCCTTTCAATTAGGAGGTGCAAGGGCGGAATGGCGGGGGTGCGTGGGGCACACAGTGTTTCCCAGACGAGTGGTAACAGAGCTGAGGCGTGCGGAGGGGGTAACTCCTACTCAGGCATGCCTGAGGAGGAGGGGGAGGGCGAGGGCGGGGCAGCGCTACCCACCTGGTGCCCAGGCGCCGTGTGCGCAGCCCCATGAACACAGAGCGGATGAGCTTCCCAAAGGAGGCAGCGTTCACAGGGTCCAGCTTGTGATCCTGGCAGTGGCGCAGGTAGTGGTTGTAGAGGGAGCTTCTGGGGAGGCTCACGCCCTCGGCTGTCTCGTAGTTGTCCAGCAGCCACTGGAGCTGGGCGGGGAAGAGCACGGGAGGTCAGAGCCCAGGGAGAACGGAGGATGGAGGACAGAGGACTGCCCCGGAAGCCACGTGGGCCCCACACGGCCTGTGTGCTCTGACCGGCTCACTGACAGCATCTCTCCATGCATGCATTTGTACTTTCCATGCCAGGCCTGGCTCTCAGATCCCTCCATGTATTTGATAAAAACCTGCGTGGGATGGAGACTCCTGGGCTCTGTCCTGGTGACCGATGTAGAAGTGTGCACCCTGACAGGTCTCCTGAGCCCACAGGACGGAGCCAGGCTGTGACGCCAACCATGAAAGCAGAGCCCTGCGCTGTGTGACACAGCGCCAGGGACAGAGGTGGCCAGTGTCCCCACACCCTGCTGCTCAAGTGCAGCGGGGACTGAGTTAAGGACCTGACCGCAAAGTGACCAGGCCAAGAGCCATCCTTGGGAACTAGCAGTCCCCACAAGGACGTCAGCGCCCTCGGGCAGAGCACCCTGGAAGCTGTGGCTCATTTCTGTGCCTCCACCCAGAAAAGTCCCACTGATGTGGAACAGACAGATCAGCCCTGGTGTCCCGCCCATGACATGCCCTTGTCCCCACGGTCAACATCCTGCAGGACCCAAAGTGGGCGTCTCTCCTGGGAGCTCTCCACCCACTAGGGAATCTACACAGCTGTGTGCCCTCTAAGCAGGTGTTAAGCACTTGAGAAAATGCATCCTGGGGAAGGAGCTGCAAGCCCTAGGACGGCAGGGGGCTGGAGGAAGCACTGCAGTTTTAAATCAGAGCAGGAAGGCTCACTGAGAATGTACAATGAGCAAGGAGGCAAAGAAGCCATGGACAGCAGCACTCTAGGCAGAGGACACAGCCTGTGCAAAGGCCCTGGGGCACCTCAGAACCCGGAGAGATGCAGAAGTCATGAAGAAGCCGTGTGCAGAGGCCTGGAAGCCATGAAGAGGCCTGCAGCAGAGGGAGCAAAGGGCAGAGAGGAAGGCAGGGAGGCTGGGAGGGGATAGGCAGCCTCGGAGGGACCTGTGCGGTGCAGGGAGATCCTGGGAACCGTGGAAGGCTGAGCACAGAGAAGAGCCATGACCTGCCTCAGGTGCCAGGATGATCACTGGTGGGGCATGAGAAGGGACAGGAAGCTGGGCAGGGCTGGCTGGGAGGTAGCCAAGATAACCCTATTGGTAGCTGGCATGTGGTCCCAGTGAAGGAGGCGGGAAGCAGTGTGACCCTGGGCCTTCCCTGAAGATGGGCGCTGGAGGAGGCTGTGCCCTTGAAGGGCAGCATTGCCCCCGACCAAGGCAGGACAATGGAGGGGCACAGGCTGGGATGCACTTGGACCTCCCGGATCCCAGAGGCGCAGTCTGTGGCTGTGCCCCCACCAGGACTTCCAGAAGGGCACTGGCCTCTCGCCCTGCCTTTCACCTCTCCTCTCCCTCTCTGGCTCTCATGGTGGCCTAGACCAGGTCCAGGGTGATTTACACCAGCGGGTGGTGGACTTCGCTGACAGATCTTATCACCTTTCCCTTGCTAAGTCACCATGCCCCAAAGCTCATGATGGAAGAAAACAGCTCGACGACAGATCCCCAGGGAGAAGGGGGCCAGGGGAGATTTCGTCTGCTAGGAAAGTCATGTCAGAACACGAATGTGCAGGGAAGCAGCCCCAGGTGTCCTCCCCTTGGGATTCGCTAGAGACAGAGGCTCCCAGCAGCCGGTGACAAGCGGCCACACAGCCCTGTCTGCGGGCACTGCTGCCTGCCCGGGCTCTGTGGCCCCATCTGCCTCCTGTCTCCGTCTGACTTCCTCTGCCCAGGGCCCAGGCTGCCTGCTGGCCGCAGGTCTTTGCTCCCCAGCGGAAGCCTGGCCAAGCCTACTGGAGTCGTGAATGCCACTGTGCAGACTCAACCCAGGTTCACCTGAGCTTAGGACCCCGGGCTGCTCCAGACTTGGTCCACAGCAGGGACCTTGCCCAGCAGGGGGGACAACCCAGCCACATCCCCACCGCCAGCAGGCAGCCACCAGCAGGGCCTCGTTTTATTTTTATTTCTGTTTTTGCTTTGCACTGCTAGGTAGAGGACACATTTCTGTTGGAACCTGCGGCAGCCGATCACTTCTGTACCTGTTTCTGGACCTTTCCTGAGATCACCTTCTGCCGCAGCACTGTGGCTTTTCCAACCACTGGCAGGAAAGTCTTGGGGTTCCAGTCAGGATGGGGTTAGACAGGCAGCCCATCTCCAGTGCAATGCCAGGAGCCTATCCTGGCTTCAAGGCTGGTCCCAGTTTCAAGATGCCCAACACATTGTCAGTTCTGTGTACAGCCGGATGGGGGTGCTCAAAGAAGTGACAAGGGACACAAGGGAGAGAACCAAGCTTTCCTTCTCATCTGTCCCCAGAACCAAGCACTGAGCGGTTCCCTCCTCCAGGTCCACTTGAGGACAGACACTCACCACCTCCCAAGTAGGACCTGGGGTTGCCATGTCCTCTGAGAATCCAGCGAAGGAGGAAAATCTCACACTGCTAAAATCAGAAGGAATGAGTTCCTTTATACTTCTATCAAATTATCATTTCTTTCAAAGAGCTGATCCTAAGAACATTAGCTGAGGATCTCTGACATTTCTGATCTTATGTCACTTTTTCTCTTTTTTTGTTGCTTATTTTATTGATCTTGGACTGTTCTGGTACTTATGTTTTGAGTGTTAAGTCTTTTTTTGTTTATTGTGGTGCCAGGGATTGAACCTGGTTCCTTCCCACTGAGCTATGTCCTTGGCCCTTTTATTTTATTTTGAGACAGGGTCTCATTTAGTCCTAAATTACCCAGGCTGAGCTGGAACTTTCGATCCTCCTGCCTCAGCCTTCCACAGTGCTGGGACTAAGGCGTGTAATGTCAAGCCTGGCTGAAATCTTTCAGACACATTAAATAATCCGGTGCCTAGGACAAGCCCTTTCTATTGTGAGACAGGGTCTTTTCTAAGTTGCCCAGACTGCGCTTGAACTTGTGATCCTTCTGCCTCCCAGGGTGCTGGGGTGACAGGCGTGTGTCACCGCGCCCGCCTGCCTTTGCTTTTAAAATGTGCTTGACAGCCTCGGGCAGGGCAGGGACAGCACGGGTCAGACACGCACTTACATGGCTGTTGAGTAAACAAACCGCTTTTGTGTGGGGTGATTCCTTCGCTTTTTTGGAGGTTTTCAATCTCCATTTGAAGCTAAAGAAAATGTGTGCAGAACAAAACAAAACAAAGTGGAAGGAGAAAAAAAAGAAAAGGCAATCAGATGGTTAGCAACAGCCAGGATGTGGTTTTTATTAATATCCAAATAATGATTTGAGCACTTATAAAAGGAGGCGCGACACAGGCGGGGCCGGGGTGAAGTGGCAGGCGCGGGGAACAACAGCAGCAGGGGCAGCAGCAGAGCAAGGGGAGAAGTCGCAAGGTGCCAGATGCGCGCATGCGCAGGCCACGAGCGCCGTTGCTGCGGGGCAGTGTAGCTGTAGCAGCGCGTCCTCCCGCGCATCCTCTTCGGCCTCGGCCTCGGGATCAGGTGATCGAAGCCAAGGACGGATGGCGGCACTGATGTCCTGGCCAGCCTGCCGTACTGCAGGGCCTAGGGTCCCCCTGCGGAACGCTGCGGGAAGATTCGAGCGAGCCCAAGGCGCAGGACATGGGGCACCGCTCTCCAGCAGAGGTCGCTGCTGCAGAGGGGTGACACGAGCTGGGAGTGCTTTGCGGCCGGGCTTCCCGGGAGGAGGGCAGGTGGCTGGCAGGACTGTGCACAGGAGGAGCCAGCTCTGTACAGCTGTCACCGCATCTGCACGCAACAATGTCACCTGGACTTGGATGTGGGAAAGCCCTAGAGCGCACCCGTCCTTTCCTGAAACACCCAGTGAAGGCCAGACTTCAGCCACGCCGTGTGGAAAGCTGATGGAGTGCGCCTTGGGGAAACCGGGTCCCCAGAGCTCAGTCAGGGACCCGAGGGAGGGTCTCTTTGCTGACCGGACAGCCACAGCCCGTGACAGAGACATCCTGACCAGCAGCTCTGCCAGCTTCCATGCTGGACACCTCACTCTGGGTGCCCAGAGATGGAGGTCTGCCCCTGGGAGTTGGCCGTGCCCTGGAGGCTGCTCAGTGTTTCCAGGAAGGGGAAGAAAATGTGCCCCTCCAGGACATCCGGCCTCAACATTGTGGCCTAGTGACTCTTTCACATTGTTAAGCATTTTTGAGGCCCTCCCTCCAAATGAGCTTTTTTTTGTGAGTTAAATACTTCCCATATTAGAAATTGTAGTGGAAAAAATTAAAAATGTGTACATTAATTTATTTAAAGCATTGATAAACCCATTACAGGTGAAGGTAAGATTAGGCTGGGCATGGTGGTGCATGCCTGTTATCCCAACACATGGGAAGCTGAGGCAGGAGGATCATGGTGAGTTCCAGGCCAGCCTGAACCCTGTCTCAAAACCCAAAGAACAACAAATAAAAGCATGTCTGGCTGTATGTTTTAGTTGGCCATGAATATGTGTACTGGGCACTACATCACCCAACAGCTGGTTGCTTCTTACGTCAAGTCAGCTGCTTGTAGGATCTGGGAACCCTAGCAAGGAGCATTGTGATCAGTTACCTCAAAATCCTGAGCCAGTGGTGACAACGGGGGAGGGCAGCCCTCCCAGGAGCAGTGCGGAAAGGGGAAAAACCCTCCAGAATGCACGTTCCTGAACTCTGGGAATGAGAAGTTTATAGCAACCAGGTGGACACTTAATATAATGATGATAATGCTAATGATAAAAAAAACCCAGCCGAAATGTGGCATCCAAGGGAACGTTTCAGATCACTAGCTGACCACTGAATACAGGTTTCAGGAGCCACCCCTGACAAAGAATGAAGATTTCATAAAAGTGGTCCTGAAAGGTCATTAAACAAATGATCAACAACTCTAAAAATAAATCCTGGGGAGGGTGGAAGGATTTGATATCTAGAGTTGCTATATTATAATATTAAAGATATCTATTTTTCTACAAATTATGAGGTGTGCAAACAAATAAGGAACTCCACACACATACAAAAAACAAAGAAATAAAGCTGCCCCAGAGGAAGACCAGACATGGATTTATGAAATAAAGAGTTCAAATCAACTATTTAAATAGATTCAGAGAATTACAGGAATTATGTGCAAAGAACTAAAACAAACTATGATCATCCTATCTCACCAAATAGAGAATATCAACAAAAAGAAATTATAGGCTGGGGATTTAGTTCAGTGGTTCCGCCACCTGCCTCACAAGCACAAGGTCCCAAGTTTGATCCCTGGTACCAAAAAAAAAAAAAAAAAAAGAAAAGAAAAGAAATTATAAAAAGGAACCAAGCCAGGTGTGGTGGCACATGGCTGTGATCCTAGTACTCAGGAGGCCGAGGCAGGAGGATCACTGCAAGTTCAAGGCCAGCCTGGGCTACATAGTGAGTTCTAGGCAGCCTGAACTACATAATAAGACCTTGTCCCATACAAATAAACAAGTGAAGAAAAAAACACCAATGAAATGGAAGCAAATTAGAATTCTAGAATTGAAAGTATGTTTGAAGGGGCCCAGGGATTTAGCTCAGTGGTTCCGTCGCCTGTCCAGCAAGCCCAAGGACTCGAGTTCAATCCCTGGTACCAAAAGAAAAAAAAAGTTTGAAGGTATAATGGCTAAAAATACTTCCCAAATTCAATGAAAGACATGAACTCACATATTCAAAAATCACAACAAAGCACATTATCATCAAACTGCTTAAAGACAGAATTTCCAGGAAGCAACGCACACAAACAAGTGATCTCCCATCAGAGTAACAGCTCATTTCTTACCAGCAATCACAAGGGCCAAAACGGTTAAAAGGGTGAATTTTACATTACATGAATTTTACCACAATAAAAATATGTTCATATAACTAAACTAAAGAGATATTAGTCTCTCCTGTAGTGGGAACAAACTTTTATTGATGGGCACAATTTTCTAACATCACCTGGAAAATATCAGCTCCCTGAATTTGCAGATCTTCCACCTGTGGACACAGCTCGTTCAACAGCCTCAAGATCGACACTCACTTCTGAGAATATCAAGCCACTCTCTCTGGACACCATCCAGTTCCCTGTGACACACACAAGTGCTCCCAAACTCTCATTTTTTTTTTTTGAAAACTTAACTATGGTCAAACTTGCCAGTCGTTTCCCATAATAGGTCAGGCTTACTTCATTTGTATTTGAGAAAGTCTCTGCCAAATACGACCTGAGGCAGAAGAATGATAGTTGTCATCTGTCCAAGCAAAAACAGCTTCTTGTGAAACAATGGTGAGTTCTGTCTGCAACTCAAACAACTGTGCTGGGGCCTCTTCTGGAGATGTGACTGTACCGGGGTGGGACAGCAGGGCCTCTGAGGCCTTTCCATGCCACCACACAGGATACCGAGGACATGTGCACACGAGGATTAACATTTAATAAAAATATCATTTTTACTGCATTATCAAAGACATATTATTTTCTTTCTTTCCTCCTTTCTTTCTTTCTTGATTGCTTGGCAGTACTGGGGATGAAAACCAGGGCTGTTGCACTGAACTACACCCTCAACCCCTTATGTATTTATTTTTGGTACCAGGGATTGAACTCAGGACCTTGAGTTTTTGAGGCAGGCGGGGTGCCCCCAGCCGAATTTTTGAGATAGGGTCTTATAAACTGCCCAGGCTGGGTTCAAACTTATAATAATCCTGCCTCAGCCTCCTAGAGTGCTGGGATTACAGGCATGTGCCACTGTGCTTGACTAAGGACATTTTTAAGTGAAACTAGTATTTTGTCTCTGTCTCTGTCTCTTTCCCTCTCTCTCCTCTTTCAAAACATTTCCAAACTTCTTCTTCCTCCTCCTCCTCCTCCTCGTGTGTGTGTATGTGTGTTTGGGGGGACAGAACCTTACTCTGTAGCACAGGTTGGCCTTGAACTCACTATGTAGCCCAGGCTGGGCTCGAACTCCCATTGATCCTCCTGCTTCAACCTCCTGAGTGGTAGGATCACAGGCGTGCGCCCCCACGACCAGCTACAGGGGCTTCTCAGAGTCTGGTCCCTCTGCCTTGATTTGTTGCTGTTTCACCCACTTGGATTCTGCTCAATCAATGCAGATACCAACACAGCCAAAGGCAACGAATGGTTTACTGCTATTATGAAAATAGTTTAGGTCTTGCGGACACACTAAGAGGGTCCTAGGGACACCCAGAGGCTTCCTTCTAAAGCTGGGCATGGTGGCACACACCTGTAAACCCAGCACTGGGTGGGGAGGCTGAGGCAGGAGGGTCACTGAGAGTTCGAGGCCAGCCTGGGCTACACAGTGAGACCCTGTCTCAAAAAACAAAACAAAACAGGCCAGGGATTCAGCTCAGTGGTTCCGCCACCTGCCTCAAAAGTGCAAGGTCCCAAAACAAAAATCCCTCAAGCTGAGACTGCCAACACAGGTAAGGGTCATTTCTATGACTTCCGGTGGCATTCTCAGGGTATACCCAGCAGAGCTTGAATCCAACAGCCCAGGCCCCCTAAAAAATGGTGATTTTTATTTTTTTTTTGGTCAGGGGAGGGAACCCAATACCTCATGCACTCTATGCAAGTGCTACCACTGATTGTCACCTATGGCCCAAATGTGGTGAATTAATCTTAGGAGTAGGATTTCAGGATTTTTGAAAAAGATCCTACATGTTCCCTGGGGACTGAGCTCCCGACTCTCTGACTTGCCACTGGCACTTCAGAATTTGCTCACCTGGGGCAGGAAGAAGACACAGAGGTGTTTTTAGGCATACCTAAATTTTTTTTATTTTGAGACCAGATCTTAAGTCACCAGGTTTCCTAGGCTTGGCTCCAAGTTATGATCCTCTTGCCTCAGCCTCCCAGAGCGCTGGGTTATAGGTGTGCACCACCATGCCCAGCTAAAAATCAACTGTATTTTCATATCCTAGTAATGAGCATTTGAGAACTGAAATTAAAAAAAAAAATCAAAGCCATTTACAGTAGCTCCAAAACATTAAACACTTAGATATAAATCTAACAAGACAGCTACAGAATCTATCTGTTAAACATGATCAGTGAAATCAAAGATGATATAAATAAATGGAGACAACATACCATGCTCATGGATTGCAAGATCCAACTGTGGTAAAGATGCGGGTTCTCCCCAAATCCATCTACAGATTGAGTGCAATTTAATCAAAACCCCAGGGTGATTTTTTTTTTCTATAGATATAGATAAAATGACCTAAAGCTCATATAGAAACTTGAAATTTATATAAATGGCCAACATAATTCTGAGGAGAAGAAATTGGGAGCAATCATTTGATTTGATGTGAAGACTTACTATAAAGCTGTAGTAATTAAGACAGGGTGCTTTTGGCAGAAGAGCTGGCACATAGATCAATGGAACACAACGAGAAGGATACCCTGAGATACAGCTGCACACATATGGACAACTGGTCATTTCATACGTTAAAAACATCAAACTAGGGCCGGGGATTTAGCTCAGTGGTTCTGCCGCCTGCCTCACAAGTGCAAGGTCCCAAGTTCAACACCTAGTACCAAAAAAATAAATAAATAAAATAAAGAAAACCAGCTGCAGATTCAGCTACAACTTGATGGAATCACAAAGGCCCCACACTGAGTGAAAGAAGCCAATCTCAAGAGGATACCCACTCTGTGATTCCTTGTATGTGAGACGCCTGAAAGATCAACCCATAGTGACAGAGGATACAGATCAGCGGTGGCGGGGTGGGGGGCCCTGGCTGCACAGACACCCTGCAGGCGCTTTCAGGGCTCCGGCCTGTGTGTACTGATTATGGGGACAATGACACAAGTCTACACGCATATCCAATCTCACAGTCTTGCACACCCAAAAAGGCAATTCCACTCCATGTTTTTTGGGTGTTTTTGGTACCAGGGATTAAACTCAGGACGCTGTGCTTGCGAGGCAGGCGGTGGCACCACTGAACTAAATCCCCGGCCCTACTCCATGTTAATTTTAAAAAACACAACCAAGTAAAAGTAAACGTGGAAAGTCAAGTTTTAAAAGTAGAGTCAGGTTGGGCTGGGGATTTAGCTCAGTGGTTCTGATGCCTGCCTCGCAAGCGCAAGGTTCCGAGTTCGATCCCCAGTACCCAAAAAATAAAAAATAAAAAATGTCAAGCTGGGTTTAGAGCAGGTCAGTAATAATCTTGCAAGGGGTCGCAGAGCTAAGAATCTGGGGGCACTCTAGAGGGGTTCGACCTTTGTTTGTGCAGGGCCCTGTCCTCTGGAAGGGCTGTCGGACAGCTCCAGGAGGTAGGTGGTGACAACAACGACAACGGCGATGACAAAGACCACCGCAGAGGCAGCATCTACCATCAGGGAAAGCCCTCCTCGGGCTCAGTTTCCACAAGACCCTGCGACCACAACAAGCCTTCCTCTGTCCCCCGGGGCACCGAGGTTCACAGAGCCTCACATGTCTACCTGCAGGACACCAACCCCGGGCACAAGCCCATGACAGCCCCGTGTGGGCTGTGGGTGCCTCCTGCTCACTGCCCTGCTGCTGTGGCCGTGGCCATGGCGTGTCTAGCACAGTACCCTGCTGTCCCCCAGTCCCGTACATACCGTGGCTGGTGAGGACCGGGCGGTGTGGGCCAGGGAGTGTCTCGCGCTGTCCATCCCGTGGATGAGGTAGGCGCCTGCGCTGGACACGATGGGGTTCCCTGCGACGTCCATGGTGATGCCCACCATGCCATGAGCAGGAACCAATGGCGGGGATGAAGCTGCCACTGTCACCGGGGTGCCGCCTGGGGCCTCGAAGTAAGAGGCTGCGCTGCTGGGGGCATACATCGGAGGCTCGGGGTTGTAGGCGTAGGCCGCTCGTCTGGCAGAAAGACAGAGGTCACTCTGAACCCAGCCCTTCTGAATGCCCCGGCTGAGTAAAGGGTCTGCCCAACTGTGTGTGTGAGCGACAGGTCCTCCAGGCCAAGTATGTGGCGCTGCTCATCCAGAGGACAGGAAGCTCAAATCCAAGCTGAAGCTCAAAGCTAGAACAGACTCAGGATCACAGGCTGACTAATGGAAACCGATCATTTAAAAATCCTAAGTGGGGGCCAGGGATTTAGCTCAGTGGTTCCACTGCCACCTGCCTCACAAGCGCAAGGTCCTGAGTTCGATCCCCAGGTACCACAAAACAAACAAACAAACAAACAAACAAAAAATTCTAAGTGGGCCAGGCGTGGTGGTGCATACCTGCCATCCCGGCACTCGAGAGGTGGAGGCAGGAGGATCGCTGCAAGTTTGAGGCCAGCCTGGACTACATAGTGAGACCCTGTCTCAAAAAACCAACAAAACAAAACAGGAAGCAAATCGAAGTGGCGAGTGGGTCGCATGGAGGAGCCTTGGTGGGGACGGGCTAGTTTTGTGCCTCGTGGTTGTAGTCACACAAACCTACGCATGGGGTAAAGTGCACAGAACTGAGCACATACACACATGTGCATGCAAATGTGTGTGAGGACTGGTGAAACTGTCCAATGTCACATTCCTGTCCTTGATGTCCTGGGGTCACACTGGAGGTCACCACCAGAAGCTGGAGGGCCGGAGGGCTCTGTGAGGCTGTGAGTTTTTCAAAACATAAACCAGGGCTGGGGAGGTGGCTCAGTGCCAAGCGCTTAGCTCCATCCCAGCCCTGCAAAAAAGAAGGGAAAAAACCCTACAAACCGTTAAAAAAAAAATGACGCTGCATCATAAAAGAATTTCCAAGCCGTAGCACGCATGTGCCTGGCATTCCTCTAACAACTGGATGATGGATTCACCGCGTGTACTGAGAAGGAAGCATTTAAACTCCTCCTGACAAACTCTGGTCACGGTCTGAGTGGCCATGGTGGCTTCCCTTCTCAGTGAGTAAAGGCGTGTCCTGAGGGAGGGCCCACGGTGACATCCTACAGAACTGTGGCCCAATGTCAAGCCAGAAAGTGAACCTGGAACAACCCACAGGCCTCGTTTGGACTTCACGTGAGTGCACTCAGGTCTGTGTGTGATTGGGGACAGTTAGTGTCGGGCTTTGGGAAATGACACATTGCCCTCTGTCACAAAGCCTTGCACGCAGTCCCCACACTGAAGAAGGCCTTGGCAAAACCAAAGAACAAGAAAGAGCGAGCAGAGGCCGATGGGCTGCATGGGGGCATGGACAGGCTTCAGCCCCAAGTATCCCCTGGTGGGGCAGAAAACTCTAGAAGTCTTGGTAAAATGGAAAACCACGTTTCGTCGAGAGCCTAGAAAGGTAGAGCTTGACAAAGGTGAGGACCAAAGGGCACTGAGGGCAATGGCTTCCGGAACATGAGTCTTCAGGTTGAGAAGTTGGGTTCTTTGTTTTTTCTGTCTATAGATGGAACCCAGGGCCTTCACACTGAGCTTCATCCCCAGCCCTTTTCATTTTTTGAGACAGGGTCATGCTAAGTCGCTATGTCGTGATCCTCCTGCCTCAGCCTCCCATGGTGCTGGAATGATATTGGCATGCACCAACATGCCCAGCTTTTTAATCTTTACTTTCTTCACACAGACTTTTCTAGACATTGAAATACAAGGCTATGGTTTCTGAACTCTCTGATGGGCATCAGGGTGGGTAAGGGAGAGATGGGCAAAAAGCGTCCTTCCTGGGAGAGGGCGGTGGCCCGGGGCACACGTACATGGCTCCATTTGCGTAGACAGCGTCGCCCCCTTCCACGTACTGCACCTGAGCGGGGTACACGTGCTGCACAGGCGGAACCTGTAAGCACACCGGGCGGACGCCGAGTCACGGCAGGCATTTCCTGCTCGTCCCCTTAAGCCCCAGGTGTCTCCTCTCCCCACTGAGGACACTGAGGACCACGTGGCCCTGGCCTCTCCGTGGTCAGCTTGTTTACATGCTGGGAGAGGCATCGGGGCGGGATGAGATGCCAGCGGCCCCAGCAGGTGACAGAGCCACTGGAACCCACAGAGTCCGGCTGCATGTTCTGGGACCCTGGCTCGCTTCTGCTTCCCACCTGGGGGACGAGACCTGAGCACCACAATCTGTCCAGGTGGGGCACGTGAGGCAGGGACCACACCTGCCAGCTCCGCAGTGAAGCCAGAGCTGTGGACAGAGGCTCGTATCGGGTGCCACGCGGATCCTGGCCCCAGAGGAGGGGCCGTGGCCAGGAGCCAGTTCAGCCCTGGGCCCAGCAGTGGGACTTCCAACTCCTCCCATGATGGGAACCCTAGCAGAGGCCCAGGCCACCCTGCCTGGGGGGGAGGGCAGGGGTAGCTGCAGGGCCCCGGGGCTCTTCCTCTGAGCCTTTGTCTGCAGCTTCAGGAGGCACTGGCCCCCTCCCAGGGCACCCCTACGCCACTGTCTACACCTGCCCAGCTCGCAGTCCCTGAACGAGCTCCAGGCGGTGTCCCCAGGAGAGGGAGTGGCAGTCTGGGGACCAGGTAAATGCAGGTCACCAGGGAAGCTCGTCACCCAGAAAGAGCTGGAATCATCTACTGGTAGTTTGTCTTTTCTTTTTTTTTTTTTCTGGTACTGGGGATTGAACCCAGGAACTTCTCACTGATATACCTGCAGCCCTTTTCTTATTTTTTATTTCAAGACATAGTCTTGCTAAGTCACTCAGGCTGGGCTTGAACTTCTGATCCTCCTGCCTCAGCCTCCCAGAACCTCCCCGAGTGCTAAGATGATGGGCGTATGTCTCTCTCTATCTGGCTAGACACTGGCCCTTGTGTCCTTGGGGAGGGCTTTGACAGAGACAAGGCCTATGGCAGGGACCTTCACCTGGGTGCCTAGGTGTCAGAGTGTCTGTTTATTTCCTGGGGCCCTGTAGACCTTCCCAGCTCCAGATGACAGACACCTGGAAACATCCCACTAGTCTACAAAGGGACCTGGAAGTCTGTAGGCTCTGCCCTGAGGGCCAAATCTGGGGCCTCATATGTGTTTTTGTAAATAAAGTTTTATTGGTGCACAGCTGGGCTTACATATGGATTATGGCTACTTCTGTGCTATAAAGACAGAGTCCAGTAGCTTCATTTGAGACCCTCTGACCATGAACCCAAAAGATGTGAGGCACAGGCTGCCCCGAACTGATGGTCTGGGGGCTGCAAAGCTGTCAGTCCACAGCTACAAACTTTGTTCTGAGATAAACCATTCAGGAAAGCCATCTCCTCTGTCAGTTCACCATCTGAGGAGGCAGTACCTGTCTGTGGGTGCGTCTGCCTCCCCAGGGGCCTGTGTTCCTTCCTCCATGGGGACTGGGTGCTTGCCCACACCCCAAATGTGGCTGAATTTATGAATGAATGAAAGATCACCACCTTTCTTGGTTCACTGCAAAACTATCTGCAGTAAAGGAAGAACTTTCTGGATAAATGAAGGCACCAGGCAAAAAGAAACAACAAAACTGGCCACAGTGGCGCACACCTGTCATTCCAGCACTCTGAGAGGCTGAGGCAGGAGGATTGCAAGTTCAAGCCCAGCTTGGGCAATTTAGTGACATCCTGTCTCAAAATTGAAAAGGGCTGGGGATATAGCTCAGTGCAAAGGCCCTGGGTTCCATCAAAAGGAAAGGACAGGACAGGATAGGACAGGACAGGACAGGAAGGAGGAGAAGGGATGGAAAGTGGCTGCATCCACCAGAGATTGTTCTGGATGCGAAGTGCCAACTGTGCCCTGGACAGGGGCGTGGCCTTACCTGCTGTGGCACCTGCGGAGCTCTGGGGAGGGACAGTGGCTGCATCGAGGCCCCCTTGGGTGTGGGGCCTGCGACCTGGACCAGCACCCTCTGAAAGGGAAAGGGACAGACAGTCAGACGCGCTGTGGATGGACCTTCACCCAGAGGCCTCAGCCAGAGCTGGCTCGCCTGTCCCCACATGCTTCCTCCCTAGGTCGTGGGGCGGACGGAGAAGGAAGGCAGGTCACACAGACAAGCTCGTTCATGCTCACGCTGGGCTAGGTGGGTCCAGGGGCAGGCGTGTGTGCACGCACACACACACACACACACACACACACACACCCTCTACCCGCCCGGTGAGGCCTGCAGTCTGTGGGGAGGTGACAGAAGGGGGTGCTGGGTGGGGTCGGGGCCCACCCGGAGAGCTATCTGCTGTCCACGGGCCACTGGCCCTGGGGGAGCACTCTGCAGCTCCCTATGGTTTTACAGGTCACACTGACCTTAGACAAGAGGACCGAGTGGCCACACAGAAAAGAAGGGCCCAAGGGGACCTCAGGGTCACAGGAGGAATGGCATGGGTGCTTTGTGCTTGTTTATTCTGAGCAGAGACCTTCAGTGTCACTGACCAAGACGCGTGCTGTTTTTCCCAGATGGACCCTGAATGTCACTGACTGTGACATCTGTGATCCTGTGGTGCCTGGCAGGTAAACACCAGGAAGGGGGACACACAGTCTCCAGCATTCAGGGTGAGGCACCGGATAGGAAGACTCCTCTAAGGACTCCAGCCAAGGGGCATCTGAGCCTGGCCGTGGAGACAAGAGTTCGTGGGCCCTGGCCAGCATGAGCGCATGGCCAGAAACAAAAGCAACACAAATATTTGACATGAGCAGATGAGTAGTCAGCTGCACTGGCTCTACCCCCATGCCAGAATATTATGCAGCCAGGAAAATAAGTGGGGCCGTGACACTTGCCACATCACGGACGGACCCTCAGTGAGAGACGCCAGACACAGAGGTCACAGTGTGGGCTCCACGGACAGGAAACGCCCAGGACAGGCGACTCCAGAGACAGGAAGTGGACTCGGGGGTGCTGGGGCTGGGGTAAGGGTAGAGTGATTGCTCATCAGGATGGGGTTTCTTTATAAGGTGATGCAATGTTCCAGAACTTGATAGAAGTGGTGGTTGTACAATTCTGACTATATTAAAAACCACTCAATTATCCACCTTAAAGTGACCAATTTTATGATGTGCTGTGAATTTCACCTCAATTTAAAAGACAATTAAGAAAACTAAGGGGGGATTTAGCTCAGTGGCACTGTGCCTACCTCACAAGCACAGGGTCCTGAGTTTGGTCCCTGTTGCCAAAAAAAAGAAAGAGTATTAAGGCTTAAGCTAGACATCATGGTGCATGCCTGTCACCCCCAAAACTTGAAAGGCTGAGGCAAGATGATCACTTGAGATGGTGATGTAGGGAAACCCCAGCTCAAAAAGAAAAAAAAAAAAATCTGTCTCTATATATGGAGTTTACATTTGTGCAGCCACTCGGAGGCGCTGAGTACAAATTGCATAGCCGCCTGGCCGTTTAAGTAGGATTCAGTGCCAAGAAGTCCTGCCAGCACCCCGGGCCCATGAAAGACAGGGCAGGGCAGGGGGGCAGGAAAGGCCTCCAGGACAGAAGGTGGGTGCTGGGTGCAGCGCGGGAGGCAGGAGTCCAGGGATAGGGACCCAAGCAGTGGTGGTAGCAGAAGGAATCCCCAGCCCCAGGGGCACTGGGCAGGTGGGTTGCGGGTGTGGGGAAGGAGCGTGTGAGGCCCAGCCCCGAGACAACATCTGATCCCCATAGAGCCACGCTTCCCTGCCTGGTGGCCCCAGTTACAAGCAATAAAAGCTAAAGGCGGCTCATTACCCACTCTAACTGGAATGAGCTGCTTCTGGGTATGCCTTTTTGTTTTTGCGCAAGTATGCTTTTTCATCTGAATCATTTCTGTGTTCCTGCTAGGTCATAAATCATGGATGGTCCCAGGGCCACAGCGACCTCTGTACACTGCCCTGAGCTTCCAGCTTCCCTTTGTCTGCTCCATGGACTCCCTCTTTGTGTGAGCTGTTTTTGTCTTTTTGTTGTTGTTGTTTGATTTCTTTTTTTTTTCGTACGGGGGATCGAACTCAGGCAGGACCTTGCACTTGCAAGGTAGGTGAGGTGCCACTAAGCTAAATCCCTAGCCCTGACTTTTGCTTTTGAGACAGGGTCACATTATGTAGCCCAGGCTGGCCTCAAATTCGTGGCAATCCTCCTGCCTCAGCCTCCCAAGAGCTAGTACAGAGGTGTGCCATAGTGCCCAGTTTGTATACATTTTTATGATTTACTTCAAGCCATGGGAGCCACCCAGACACAAACATAGCCTGAATGTGAACATTTTCTTTGCTAACTTTAAATAATATATTCATCTCTTTCTTTTTGTTGCTTTTCGAGACAAGGTCTCACTCTGTAGTTCAGGCTGGCCTTGAATTCACTATGTAGCCCAGGTTGGCCTTGAATTCCAGGCGATCCTCCTGCCTCAGCCTCCTGAGTGCTGGCATTACAGGCATGCGCCACGATGCCCTAGTCAAGAATATATCACCTTCTCATGCTAGTCTCCATTTTGAACCAAATCCTAAGAAGTCTAATCTACTTTTTGCCTCGTGCATGAAGTCTTTCTGTGTAAAAGGTTCATTTCCAAGGTAGAAGAAAAGTTGCACTGAAAGAAAAGAAGTGACAGTTGGACTTCAGAGTAGGGTTGTTTCTTACTGAATTTTTATCATGCTTTCTCTGGAGGGCCTTTTTTTTTTTTTATTTTTATTTTTTAAGTTTTTTGTGGTACTGGGGCTGGAACCCAGGGCCTTCACACTGAGCTCCAATCCCAGCCTTTTTTATTTCTCACTTTGAGACAGAGTCTGGCTAGGCTGTAAGTTGCCCAGGCTGGGCTTGAACGTATGATCCTCCTGCCATATCTTAGCAACAGTGCATAGACCACACAGCGTCCCGGGTTGCAGCTCCGCTAACCGCAGGCAGGGGCTGAGAAGTCCGCAGATCAGAGACGACCCGCCCCCGCCCCCCCCCCGCAGAGCCGGCGCGCACGCATGCGCACTGGGCGGTTACCTGCGGGGAGGGGGGCACAGGCTGGGCTGCAGCTGCCGGGGGTCGCAGAGTCACTGAAGTCGGCGAGTCCTCTCCTCCCTCGGAATTCTGCATGCTCCTTCTAGACAGAGGGAGAGACGGGCGTGGGCGAGGGCGGAAGAACCCAGGACCGCCTCAATCTCCAGAGGGCCAGTGCAGAGACGGAGACCCGGCAGGGCAGGGCGGAGGCGGGCGGAGGCGCGCACAGGCCTCGCCCTCTCGCACACGAGCAAAACCCAGCCCCGCGTGCCCTCCTCCAGCCGCGGCGCCTCCGCTTTCCACGTCGGACCAGGCTGGACTATCCCGAAGGGCCGAGACAACTCTATTCCTTTTGGCAGCAAGCTACCGGTTCCATCAGGGTGGTTGTCACTCGGGAAGCCTGACAAGGGCAGAAGCACAAGTTTCGCTGCACCAGTGGCGTTTGGGGCTTGAATTTTTGAGACAAGGTCTCACTGTTAGTTCAGGCTAGCCTTGAACTCTTTGTGTAGCCCAGGTTGGCCTCGAACTGGCGGCGATCCTCCTGCCTCAGCCTCCTGGGTGCTGGATCACAGGCAGGCACCATCACCCCCGGCTGCATGCTGCATGCTTTGTCATGGGGGACTATAGGGCGCTCAGCAACAGCCCTAGTCTCTGTCCACAAGATACCAGGAGCCCCCACATGACATCGGGAGGCAGAGTCGCCCGGGCTCTGGAACCCTTGCCTTGGTACTAGGCAGACTGACCTGCAGAGGGGCCAGAGAAACAGCATATTCTCTGTGGGGTTGGATGGGGATCCTCGGGGATTTCGGGAAAAACCCAAGGCTGCCTTCTGCTTCTGGAGATGTCCACAGGAAGCGCGGAACTCTACTGCGCTGCTGTCAGACCCATACAGCTTTCGAAAAGGGAGCTTGTACTTCTATTTTTTTGTTGCATTGCCGGGGATGGAACCCACGGCCTTCACACTGAGCTGCATCCCCTGCCTTTTTAAATTTTTTATTTTGAGACGGGGTCTCGCTAAATCACTAAGTTGTCCAGGCTGGGCTTTAACTTTCGATCCTCCTGCCTCAGCCTGCCAGAGCGCTGGGATCACAGGCGTGCGCCACTGCACCCAGCTGTGTTTGTGACGGGTAACAGATGAAATGGAGTTTCCTAAAGGCTGCGGAAAGGGGGGCGCGCGTGCGCTGGTCTAATCTCATGTTGAGGGCGGGGCGGGCCGGGGCGGGCCGGGGGGTTCAATTCTCGGACTTCCAGTCCCTCCCAGGCCCGGGTCTGCGCGTTTTTCCGGCCAGCGTGAGCCCGGCGGGTCGACCACTGGATGGCGCTGGAGCCACGCGCGCCGCCGGAGCCGGCAGTCTCTCCTGAACCCCGCGTCCTGACGCGCTTGCTCCAGGCCTAGGGTCTCTTCGCTAAACGTTTACATCAGTTGTTTGCACGCGGTCACCACTTTGTCCCACCCGCTGCTAAGTGGGGCGATGTGAGCGGCGCTGCAGGAGAGCGCTGGGTTAGAGTCCCCAAGTGCCAAGGGAGGGGCAGACTCGGCTGGGCCAGGGCCTCGTCCACGGGCAGGAGTGACCATGCTCCGAGGTGCAGGTTACTTAAGTGTCACAGGTCCGTCCTTCTGCTTCCTCCCTTTCATTACAGTACTGGGGATAGAACCCAGGGTCTTCCCACGGAGCTCGACCCCCGGCCCTTTTTATTTTTTATTTTTAGACAGGGTCTCGCTAAAGTTGCCCAGGTTGGCTCGGACTTGAGATCTTCCTGCCTAAGCCTCCCATCACTCGCGTTCCCCCAGTCATCAGGCTATTGACTGTTTGCGGTCCTGAGGTCACACACGGCGTGGGTGGCAGGAGGTAGCAGCCTGTGACCTGGAGGCCAGAGCGCTGGGGCCGGCTGGAGGGATTCCTGGAGTGGGGAGAAGCAGAGGGGAGCCCTCAGATCTGCCCACAAGATCCACTCAAATTTCATATCGATGGGCTGAACCTCACAGGTATGGGGGAGCCCCTGAGGCCTCAGGAAAAGCAGCTCCATGCCGACAAACCTTAGAGATCAGCTGGGGATGTAACTCAGTGGCACCACGCCTGCCTTGCAAGTGCAAGGTCCTGAGTTCAATCCCAGGTACCAAAGAAAAGGAAGAGATTTCAGCAGCTGCCCATGCTGGCAACAGCGTTAGACTAGTGGTGCAGCTGCCTTAAGATGGCGCAGCACAGCCATCATAGGGCCCAGCAAAGCTTGGGCCATGGGCTCCGAGATGGAACAGGAAGGTGCAGCGTATGTTCAAGAGAAAAAACAGAGCTCATTCTCATCAAACTAAGGGTAAGCCGGATGATTTGGAAAGAGGACAAGAAGCAAGAGCAGCTAAGAGTAGGTTCCAGATGTGAAAGCTGAGTATATCCTTAATGAGTGAACATACAGAAACCTAAGAAACAGAAACTATTATAAAGGACCACATTGTGCTGCTGTCATGGTGAGCAGCTGTCATCCCAGTCATAGGGAGGCTGAGGCAGGAGGGTCCCCAGTTCAAGGCCAGCTTGGGCTACATAGCCAGTTTGAGGTTAGCCTGTTACATAGCAATTCTAAATAAAATAAAATGACCAAATAGAAATGTAGGAATTCTGGATAGTAGATCTCAACACATTTCCAAAGACTGATGCCACACAAAGGATGCACATACTTTGACCGTAAAGGAGTAAGAAGGCATTGATAGGATGGTCTGAAAAATCCCAAGTACTTGGAAAATTTTAAACATGCTATTAAAATTACCCATTGGTCAAGGACTAATATTAACTTTTTTTGTTCTATAATTGGGTTTTTTTGGGGGGGGGTTGGATTTTTTTTGGTACTGGGGAATCAAACCTGGGACCTTGCGCTTGTGAGGCAGGCAGTGGAACCACTGAGCTAAATCCCCGGGCCCTCTTTGACTTTTTTATAGGGTTTTTTTTTTATTAATAAAGTTAATTTTATTCTATCCCACCCCCCCTTCTCAACCCAAAGAATAAACTGCAAGGAAAATTTAAAGTTTTTTGAAGTGAATGATCATGAAAATACCACATATATTAAAACTGGTTAGGGCCGGGGATTTAGCTCAGTGGTTCCACCGCTTGCCTCGAAAGCACAAGGACCCGAGTTCGATTCCCAGTACCAATAACAAAACAAAAACAAAAAAAACCTGGTTATTACTTAACAAACAGATACTAAGTTTAAAAAAATTGTAAGATGCATTGAAAGCAGTGCTTAGGAGAAAATGGTTAGTTTTGTATTAGAAAAAATGCAAAAGAACCAATCATTTAAGTTTTTGACTTTAAAAAGCTATAAAAAAGGGCAGGTATGGTGGTGAAGGCCTGGAATCCCAGCACTCTGAGAGGCTGAGGCAGGAGGATCACAAATTGGAGCCCAACATAGGCAACACACCGAGTTAGCAAAACCCCTGTCTCAAAATAAAAGCTAAAAGATAGCCTGGGGATGGAGCTCAGTGTGAAGGTCCTGGGTTCAATTCTCAGTACTGGGGGTGAAAAGCTATTAAAGAATAAGGAAATGAAACTCAAATTATATTGAAAAAAAGAAAAACAATAAAGAATAAAATAAGATAAAAATTTCACTAACAACAGAAAATGAAAATTTTTTCTTCAAAATAGAAGTGAGCTATCAAGTCATGAAAAGCTCTGGAGGAAAATTAAGCACATACTATGCAGGGAATGAAGCCAGGGGCTGCATACTGTATGATTCCAGCTATCGGATTTCTGGAAAACGAAAAACTATGGAGAGAGTAGAAGACTGAAGTTGTCAAAGGTTGTGGGGAGGGCATGACTAGACAGAGCACAGAGGACTTTAAAGACAGTGAAACTACTCTTTATGACACTATAATGGTGGAGTCATGTCACTGAGCAACTGTCCAAACCTGCAGAATGTACACATGGTGGTGCACACCTGTAATCCTAGCATTCTGGGAGGCTGAGGCAGGAGCATCACAAGTTCAAGCCCAGCGTTGGCAACTTAGCAACTTAGTAAGACCCTGCCACAAAATAAGAAATAAAAATAAAAAGGGCTGTATATCCAGTTCAGTGTGAAGGCCTTGGGTTCAATCTCCAGTAACACAAGGAAGGAAGGAGGGAGGGAAAGAGAGAAAGAGAGATCGTGAAAAGATAAGCTACAATCTAGGAGAAAATATTTGCAAAGCACACATCTGAAAAAGTGCTCTTATTAACCACAATATATTAAAAGTATCCTACAATTAAAGAAGACACATAACCTAATAGTAAAAATGTGCAAAAGACCTGAACAAGCACTTAGCAAAGAAAGATACACAATTGCCCAAAAACCATACAAAATAGCATTGAGCCTTGCAGGTCATTAGGGAAATACTGATTCCAGCCAGGAAAACACCTAAGCATTTGCCTCATTGACTAAATAAACAAGTCTGACAATATCCTCGGGAACCTTGCACATTCCTCGTGGGGATGCAAAATCGATACAACTGTGCTGGAAAAGAGGTTGGCAGTTTTTTAAAAAGTTAAACATATCCTTTAATCCCCTTCTTCTCTAGGTATTTATCCAAGCAACAGGAAAACATCTGTCCATAAACAGAAAACAACAGTGTAGAAGCAACTCTGTAGCATGTTATTCACAAGGAAGTAGAACAAACCCAAAGGCTCAACAGCATAAATGAGAAACCTTAGATTGTGATGATTCAAAGATATCCACACTGTAATTCTAAAAAGGAAAGAAAAAAAGGTGTAGTTAAAAAGCAAATGGAGGATGGGGACTGGAACACTTCCTTTATAGAAAGGGATGAGCTGTCCATCTTCAGTGTGTGGATAAATCTCAAAACCATTACACGGAAAGCAGAGAGGCTATCCCGAGAAAGGGACAAAACTATTTTAAGGTGAAAAACAAAAAGCCACAGTGGGAGGGACTGAGTTTCCAGGGAGACGGGCACCTGCTCTGTGATCAGGGAGCATGGTAACGTAGAGGACCCATTTGTCAAAATCAGCCAGCCAAGATTTGCGTACTTATTGAATGTGCATTTTAACAATAAAAAATATAAAAATATCAGAGCGGAGGGTGGGGAGCAAGTGGGGATATATAGGTGGCATAAGAATACCAGAG